GCTCATCTTCAGGCGTTTGCCGCGGCTTGCCCCGCGCATCGTCGGCTCCGTCGCGACCGGTCTCATGCTGTCGCCGAGCATTCTTCAACGCACGATACCGCCGCGAACGTTCTCGTTGCAGGCGCCGCTTGCGTTCATCCGCTCGCTCCAACTCCTCAGGAGTTTTCTTTGTCGAGTTTTTGCCAAAAAAGTAACGCATAAAAGACTCGTCACAGTTACGTTTCGACAGATAGCTGGCCATCAACTTGTAATAGTACTGATTATCCATTACAGTAGCCTTCGTGTGTGCTTAAACCTAAAACTAAGAAGATATTGGAAGATATTCTGGAAATTGCGAAATAAAAATAATGAGAACGCGACTGCAGTTGACGTGACGTCATTGACAATTGACATTTTGATTGACATTGTTGTTGTTGTTACGATTTGCCAACTCAGGAAGGCAAAAGTCTTAGATCATAGAGCCTAAATTATTGGCGTTTTATATCTGTGGTGCAGTGGCTTAGTTGGAAGTAAAGACTAGAAATGAGTTGGGGGTGACTCGAACTTTAGGCCTCGTCAGTTTGAATAGCCTATCATGAGGAGGATGTCATGGGGGGGGGGTTATGATTAAATAGGGGCAAAAAGTTCTCATTACATTCCTAGGGGGTCAAAATTGCCAAAAACCAAAAAATTAAAAATTCTTATATTTCGGCTATAACAATCTAAGATTGTAGGTAATTTCACGCAGATAGCAAGAGTGACAGAGGCCTGCCAAATCAAAAATTATTTAGAGTTGAATTGGCCAAAACTGCAGAGCTGCAATTTTATAGGTATACCTATTATTTAATGTATTATTTTTACATTCATTAATTTTGCTACGACTAAGTATCTACTGCCAGGTAAGTATCTACTTATCCTGTGTACACTTTTTGGATTGTAGTTTAGATCAACATTATTATACTTTTAATTTTAGAACTGTATGTAACTACTATCTGCTTGTGCACCTTATTCTTGTATATATAGAGATCAGTGACCTTATCCAATAAAATAAAAATAAAATGCACAAACTTACGTCTCGCCGTAGATAAAGGATTGACTAGATAAAGCATTCGCGTAAGCTTTTGAGATAGAAATAGGCGGGAGGTACTTTTACTGGGTTACCAGATATTGTTCCATTTCCCCCGTTATGGGTTTATTTATATTCACAGCACTTACACTCGTACAAAAAATTTAATTGTTACCATAAAAAAATGTTCTTTTATAATTCTGATGATTAATTAATTTCTCTTGAAAATACATTCTGTGACTAAGAACTACGGGCGGAAACGGCGTAAAAACAGAATCATCATTCTGTATTCAACGGCGCATCGACGATTTTACTGGACATTCCATAAACTCTTTGGATTTCGACGGCACTAAGTGAAGGCGCTAATAGCACAAAGTGTGATATCGCTAATAAATAACAATATGTTAAGTATGTACTTAAATATTAATTGAGAATAAAAATATTAAATAATAAACAAAAATTTCCTTCGTCGAGTTTTGTTGTTTTTACAAAAAAAATCAATAATGTTTTAACATACCATTCCATCACAAGTTCAGTGCTGAACACAGATCTTAGAAAGGAAAGGGTTTCCACTTAGGTTTTGTAGTACAAAACACGGTTATTGAGCCTACTCCCGCGATTTCCTGCATGTTTTGCTAAGTTAGTGTCTTGTGTGCGGCAAGTTGTGGCGTACAAGAGAATTTGTCTGTACACGGGATGATATTACCCCGCGTCGTAAGCAATAATACAAGATGGGAATGGGGCAGCAGCACTTTCCCGATGAAAACTTAAAATAATAAAAAACTGCGGTGGCCAACCAGCATAACACATATTTTCACGCAGGCGTGGCAACTATGGCAAAAGTCATCCTATGAGGATATCTATGGAAGGCCTTTTTTAGGTGACTTACTTATGGTTAAGTGGCTTAATCATGTTACCTAATGGTTAAGGTGGTAAAATGTTTTAGTTAATATACGTTGTAAAGCGTCAACAAAGGGTTTGTTTTTGTAATATGTTGGTATATAAAATAAAAACGAATGTTTTATAATATTCTATTTTAATTTACCATGCAGTGTAAGATTATCTGCTATCTCATATCATTCCATGGGTGGCGTATGAGGCGACATAGGGAAACATCAAAGAAGATAAACAGCAGCATTGTCCTGATAACAGCTAAATAAAAAAAAAACAGTGGTTGACAACCCGCTTTCCAAGCGTTGAAACTATGCCAAATAACTATAATCATGTTTAACAGTGCACTTTTGATAGACTGTAGAGATATATATTCTATTTAAATGAAAATATATTGAAATTTAAAAAGGAAAAAGAACTAAATTTTGTGTATTTACATAACATTTAGAAATATTAACAATGTTACATTAAGTAAAATAAATGAAAATACAATTATATATTAAATACAATTCAATAAAATTAAAATAAACAAACGATTATTTATTAATTTTTGATCACATTAATAAACAACAAATTTAACAAAATTTTTGTCTTCTTTCTAGAGCATTCGTTGTAATGCTTGGTTTGAGTAGCTTTAGAATTTCACAAAAATGTGCATTTGTTAACCTTATTTATTTTTTTGCATGGCCGAAATTCTTGGGTGCTGGTCGTTAGAATCGGATTAGAAGGGAGTATATATATATATATATATATATATATATATATATATATATATATATATATATATATATATATATTATTTTCCTTGTATATAATATATTTTAATGGTATAAATAATAAGGTACAACTCCTAAACTATACTTAGATAGGTAATACTTATCTCTTGTCAAAAACATCTTTATTACATTATTTATGACAATTAAATAGAAATTATCATAATTATTACATTTGTATAGTTAGGCCAGGACTTTAAATTACTTATTTATTTCTTTTATTTAAATCTTTATTTCCATAAAACATGGAAGTACAGATAAAGTTCCAACATTTGTAAATGAGGATTCATGTTTAATCAATCCATCTATAAGTAAATATTTTGTGATTGTCATGCAACCAAATTATTACAACTCATAATAATACAGAATGTCAGCATTTGAAAATAAAATAAGCAATTCTAGTCAATTTTAATACATACAGAACAATGTCAAAAATCATAACTACCAACAAGATCAAACTTATATCACTTATGGAGAAACAACAAGATACAACAAGAAATTATAACATTTAAAAAAAATATCTTAATTATATTATAAATTACATAAGTTAAGCATATTTAGTCCATCTAAAACAATGAGGCTTAAAATGTTTTGAGCATACACTGCTAAGTTTTGTTGGTTACCTATAATCACTACCAGTAGCGATTATCCAACAGTTGCGGATAGCTGATTCCTTAGGAAAGCTGTGAAATAATATATTTAAAAGAAATTAATATATTAAATATATAGTACACTTTTATATCAAGGTATTTAACAAAAAAAAAATCAAGTATGTGTATCTGTGCATAAATACAACACCTATAACAATTAAAACAATATCAATTGATTGAATTAAATAGCAAGTATATGTAAATGTAATGATAATATTATTCATACCAAACATTTAAAAAAATTATGTACATATTAAGCTTTAGATATTGTTAATTAATACATTTACAGCCTAACAAATGTCCTCCACCGCTGAACATAGACCTCCCACACAGTTTGTCTCTAAATAACTGCAGTTGCCAATTCTCCTGCCAAGCTAGGCAACTATCACAAAACCTATAACTTTTGACTTTTGATACTGAATAATGGTAACAGTAAGTATATTATCATCAAATTTTTTCTACATCAATATTATCTTATGTTGTTGTGTTATTGTGTACCTTAAGATTAAGACTTATTTATTTATTTATTATTTTATCTATATTTATATTTATTTTTATATTAGCATGACATATTTTTTTAATAAATATTGTAATGTAATTGTTGCTAATGTATAATAGAATTAATGGAATGCAATAAAGTTTTGTGCATCTGATTTCAGGCAATACATATTTTGTGAAATTAAATATACTTTACACAATATTTATGTACTTGAATCCAAACGTGTTTTCAGGTTGATACTTACATATTATTTGTGAAGTCTATGTAATATGGAAAATGATTGAAGAGTTGTAGGACAATAAGGAGTTTCCTTTAAAGCAGAATATAAAAGTGTATGTATATGTATAACATTATGTGATTCATATTTATGGACATAACTACTAATCACAATAACAATTATTATTGAACAATGCGAAAACATTATTGTACTCGCTGATATCCCTAAAATTTCTATAATCCTACCAAATCAAAAAGCACACATTTGTTATGACTTTAAGCTTTCGATAGACCGTTCAAATTAAGGAGCATTATCATGAAGAATTTACAATTTGGGAGTCCTAATATTTGACAAAATACATCACAAAATTCATTGAAACCATGAAATGTTACACTTTATATTTATAAAACAATAGATATTAATCAGTACAAGTAGCAAATATAAGCACAAAACAAACTTACCGATGAAAGGTAATATTATCAATTTTTCGTTGACTGATGCTGTTGCATCCTAAAATGCTACAACTTACCATCTTTTTCACCTTACCTAATAACTAAGACCCACAAAAAACACTAAATTCAATTACCTGTTTGCTTATAATATCAATATTATTCAAAAGAGCTTGACATCGTTAATGTCAAATAAAGGAGGGAAAACAATCAAAAACGCATACCTAGAAAAAGACAAGAAATATAGATTTGCTTCTCCCTTACTCTTATGTCTAACTATATACGTGCATTCCTTTCACACGCTGATGACGTCACTGAATGTTTAGTCTATAAGATACTATGTCTATGCGTCTCGCCCAGTTTTTTGGATATATGCCAGACTATTTTTAAGTATTTTATTAGTAAAAAAAAAAAACAAAAAAATATTCTTAACAAAATATTTATTAAAAAATGTAAAGAGAAACTGCGAGGAAGTGTCAAAATACCGGGATGTCAGATTTCTTGACGGCGGAGAGTCCGTCGTCCCACGTGAGCATGGCATTGAAAGAGAAGTACAGCGCCACGGCCGACAGCATGTGCCACAGGTCGTGCGAGTCGTAGAACTGCATTACCTGTAATGTGCGCATTTTTAAAAGTATTGTACATTTTTTGCTAGATAAGTAAAGTAACTACAATACCTATATTGATATTGTGAGGGAGTCAGTATGATAAGGCAAGAGCCTTAAAGATAATTGCCTCGGTGGTCTAGTGGTTCGTGTTTACGACTGCTGGTCTTGAGGTCTCAGGTTTGAAACTTGGCTTGAGTCAAAATCAGTTATTGGGTATTTTGTCAAGAAATTCTCAGTAGCAACCTGGAGTCAGGAAGTTGGCGATGCTTCATCGGAAAGCAATCTCTGGTCGTATCGGATTACCGTCCTATTAGACTATGAGAGTGAGTGAATAGAGAGTGCACCTGTACTTGCGCATATATTCGGGTACTATAATCTTATCCTGCGCTCTTGGCTAGTCTCCGTAGAGACTGGACGCTGAGACAAAAATTCAGTCTGGAAATTATTATTATTTATATTCTTTATCCACATTTATTTTATAAGGCAGGTATGTAGAGCGGTGGACGGAGGTACCTTGTACTGCCGTGACTACCGAGGAAGACGATCACTCGGAAATTGTCCCGAGACACCGTGATCGTGATATCACTGCGAGGGTGTCGAGGGCAGCAAGTACTGCCCCCAATAAAGCAAAACGAGAGAGAGAGGCCCCAGTTCCGTTGGGAACAGATATCCTTCGTACAACAAAGAAAATCGTGGAGTTTTAGAGGACAGGTGTCCGGCATAACCTCCTCGTTGCCCCTCGCAGCCGAAGGTATCCATGAGGATTTTCCCATGAAAAAAAGGAGTCAGTTTGAGTAAATACCATTATGTTACTTATTTGTGCCATCGAGTAGTGGTGCGTGCACTGCTGTATTCTGGTTTGAAGGTTTTGTAGTCAGTATAATAGAGCGGGTAGCTAGTTATGTAGAGCACGTTTTTTTTAGAATAAAGTTGATAAACAAGCACACAGCCCACCTGGTAGTAAGTGGTTAAAAATCAAAATGCAGATGCGTCCTTCCCAGTAAAAAGGGTTTCCGGTTCTTTACACTTGACATACGAAACACAGAAGAATTTAGCTGCTATTTTATGCTGGTATTCTGTGAGAGCATGGTTCTTCCTCGATCGAGCCGACGCATTCGTTATACAACATAATGTAGTTGCAGTGTAGCTCTACCAAGTACACGGTACCTTGCAGCGATGGTTGTGGAGGCGCGAGCGCGCAGGCGAAGCGGCCCAGTCGGCCGACCCGGCGAGGAACAAGTAGATTGCGGGGAGCCAGGCGGCCGCCGCACCCGCCAGCCAGCACCACGCGTACCAGCGCAGCCGCTCGCCCTGCACCAGCTTCAGCACTAGGTACGCCACCATGTACAGCAGCGTGTTGCCCAGTAGCACCTGCAGCATGTGTCCCGCGAAGTCGCTCGTCTGCCTCACCAGCCTGAGAACCGATTTCGCTTCATAAACCAATGCTGTTCACCAAAGTACTTTTATATTGTGTTATATTAACAGTACCGGTAGTGGCAGTGTAAGAATAAACAGTAATCCATATCATCCCGTGGATATCGTAAGAGGCGACAGAGGGAAACAAATCTGGAGATGAGTAGCAGCGTCTTAAAAACATAAATAACTGCGGTTACTAACCCGCCTGGCAACAATGACAAATATGCCCCTTATGAGGCAATCTATGGGGCAGGCCTATATTTAGCAGTGGACTTTAATAGGCTGTAACGGTAACGCTATTATAAGAGTCTGTGGGTCGTCATCAAGTATCCAAATTATAATAAATATAAGTATTCAAGTAAAGTCGTAAAGCCCGTCTCATGAAAGAAGTCCCACAGACGCGGCGCTGCAGCCATACAACGGAATGTTTCGAATTGTTTATTAATTTTTCCACAAAAATCCCAAGCGTTCCAACAAGAACTTACCTTTGACTATAGAGGGCAGCACTTGATCCCCCCCCCCCCCCCCCCGGTAGTCAAAACAATAATTAATGTCACAATTTAAATCAAGCTGGAGCTATCCTCAGTTTTTAACATAATCCCTATTCCTACTAACGACGTAAACGCTAACTGTATCTGAATGTAGGTGTTCTCGAAGATGTTCCCAATCTTCTCAGTGATTCCTTTCAGGCATAGATTAATGACAAGTCATCGCGCGCTCTGACTAGATACCGCCGACGCTCATGTAAAATGTGGCAACAAATACTACGCCGAAATCGGTGTACCCGAGCCAGTCGCGTTGCAGGCAACGTGTGAGGTGAACGTACCGAATGTTTTATTAAATTTTGATCATAATCCGAAGTAAAATACCAGTTTACGTATTGAAACTGGGTAAAAATAATACTACAAGAAATAAGAAAGACACTGGAATCACATACTATCATTAACGCTATTCAGTGTTGCCGCGAATGCAAAAATAAAGTTTCGTGGCTGAGATTTTTATATGTGAATTTATTGTTACTATATTTTATAATATAATATATTTAACTTATTATCATCATTACAGCCCTTCACAAGTCCACTGCTGAACATAGGCCTCCCCCAAAGAATGCCACAAAGCACGGTCCTGAGCCACCTGCATCCATCGACTTCCTGCATGTCTTACCAGGTCGTCACTCCATCTCGTGGGGGGACGCCCTACACTTCGCCTACCGGTACGAGGCTGCCACTCGAGAACCTTTCTTCCCCATCGGTTGTCGGTTCTTCGAGCTATATGGCCGGCCCACTGCCACTTCAGCCTACTAATCCGTTGGGCTATGTCGGTTACTCTGGTTCTACTGCGGATATCCTCATTCCTAAGTTTATCACGCAGAGCAACTCCGAGCATAGCCCTCTCCATAGCTCGCTGAGCGACCTTGAGCTTCCTCATACGGCCAGCAGTGAAGGACCACGTCTCAGTTCCATAAGTCACCACTGGCAACACGCACTGGTTGTACAATTTCGTTTTCAGGTTTTGAGGTATGTCTGACGAGAAGATGTGTCGTAGCTTCCCGAACGCTGCCCAGCCGAGTTGAATCCGTCGATTGACCTCTCGGTCGAAGTTGGACTTACCTAGTCGGACTATTTGTCCCAGGTAAACATACTCGTCAACAACTTCGAGCTTAGTGCTCCCAACAACTACCGGCATAGGTGTGACATGGACATTGAACATGATCTTTGTTTTGTCCATGTTCATCTTAAGACCTATCCGTTGGGAAACACTATCGAGGTCATTGAGCATAGTGCTTAGGTCCTCCAGCGATTCTGCCATAAGAACTATATCGTCGGCAAATCGAAGGTGAGTGATGTACTCGCCATTGATGTTGATACCGTATCCTTTCCAGTCCAGAAGCTTGAAAACATCTTCCAATGCAGCGGTGAAGAGTTTCGGGGATATGACGTCACCCTGTCTTACACCTCTCTGCAATTGGATAGGTTTCGTACTCTGGTTCTGTACTCGGATAGCCATCGTAGCCCTACTGTACAAGCACTTCAACACTTCGATATACCGACAGTCAACTTGGCACCGCTGAAGGGACTGCAGCACCGCCCAAATTTCGACGGAATCAAAGGCTTTCTCATAGTCCACATACGCCAGACATAGTGGCAAATTGTACTCTTCGGACTTCTGTACAATTTGCCGAAGGGTATGTATGTGGTCTATGGTGCTAAAGCCTTTTCGGAAACCGGCTTGTTCGGGAGGCTGGAAGTCGTCAAGTCTGCGCGCGAGACGATTCGTAATGACTCTCGAAAACAGCACGCAGACGCGGCTCAGAAGGGAAATCGGTCTGTAGTTCTTCAAGAGAGCGTTGTCACCTTTCTTGAAGAACAAGACCACCGCACTTCTGCTCCACGCCTCCGGTGTAATGCCACCATGGAGGACGGAATTAAAGAGCTTCTGAAGGACTTCAAGTACCGGTCTTCCACCCGCTTTCAGAAGCTCCGCTGTAATTCCATCCTCGCCTGGGGCCTTACCGATTTTAAGGTGCTGGAGAGCCATTCTAATCTCGCTCAGACTGACGTCCGGGATATCTTCGGAATAGTGTCGGATGAGACTCGCTCTTGGATCGTTACTCACACTTGCGTGTGGCTCCAACGATGACGTGTACAGCTGCCCATAGAACCTCTCAATCTCACTCAAAATCTCAGGTGTCCCGGAAACGATGCTGCCACATCCTGTCTTCAGCTTTGACAGGTGGCTCTTTCTGGCAGACAGATCTCTGGCAAAGACTTTGGAGCCTTGGTTCCGCTCGATCGCTTCTTCAATACGAGCTGTATTGAAGTTGCGTAGTCTGTTAAAGAATGTAGCTTCATCTCCCGTCTAACAGCCATGAGATTAAGAGTGTGATCGGAGAGTTTTTGTGTTCTTCTGCGGCGGGTCTTGCAGAACTTAGCTCCGACCGCATGGACAGTTTCCACGAGCTTGTCATTCATATCGTCCACTTCATTGCAGTCTTCTAGGCACTGAAAACGGTTTTGTAACTCGAGCTGATAGGTTTCGGGACTTTGGAACAGAGCACGAGGGGGACGGAGCGTTGACTTCATTAGACGAGACCTCTCCAACTTAACCTTTAGGTTCAGTGTGCCTCTAACCATTCGGTGATCGCTATCAGTTTTCACCCTCGCGATCACGGAGACATCACTGAACAGTTGTCGTCTGGTCGTCATAATGAAGTCAATCTCATTTTTTGTCGAACCGTCGGGGCTCGACCAGGTCCACTTCCTGTGGGGCCGCTTCTGGAAGAAAGAGTTCATCATAAAGAGTCCCTCTTTCTCCATGAAGTCGGCCAGCTGCTGGACCCTTGGGTACCGTTGCCCTATTCCAAATTTCCCTACTTTCAGCTCACCGTTCTCTCTTGTGCCTAGTTTTGCATTGAAGTCTCCCATTAACACCGTATATTGGGTTTTGGAGGAATGCATGGCTCTAGAGATATCCTCATACATTTCCTCCACCTCCCCATCGGGGTGTGCCGAGGTTGGTGCGTAAACCTGTATGACCTTCAGCGAATACCGTTTGGTGATTCTGAGTATAAGGTACGCAACCCTCGTCGACACACTCCCGATCTTTACAACGTTGTTAACGAGAGACTTGTGGACGATAAATCCGACACCTCCTTGGGACAGATGGTCGCCCTCCCGGTGATAGAGCAAGTTGCCGGATTCGAGGATTACCGTGTCCTCCCCCTCTCTTCGGACTTCGGATAATCCTATAATATGCCAGCGCAACTTGTCTATCTCTTCTTCCAGCTCCACGATCTTCTCGTCAGTCCTCAGGGTGCGTGCGTTGTACGTTGCCAGGTCGAGTCGTCTAAGGTGCCAACCGAACCTCCACCGGAGATTCTTAGCACCCCCTTATTATAATATAACCTAATTCTATATTATTTAATGTTTATTTCTGTAGTATTGCTCAAATGACATAATTGCCGTTTATTAGGGTTCCGTACCCAAAGAGTATTAACGGGACCCAAGTCTCCACTATCGTCCGTCTGTCTGTCAGTAGGCTGTATCTTATGAACCGTAATATGTAGAATTTTCACAGAATGTGTATTTATATTGCAGCTATAACAACATAAAATTAAAAAGAAAACATGTAAAATATTAAAGGACCCAAAAAATCACGTTTCGTGATTTTTTTTCTGTATTGATATGTGTTTTGTTTAGAGACTAAAGCGAAACCTGGATTAACACGCAATAAAATGATGCTGTGTGTATGGTGGGATTGAAAGTTTATCATGAGCTTACTACCAATAAATAATGAGACAAGCAAGAAATAGAAAAAAAAAAGTTTTAGTCATTATTTTCTTTCGTTGCTTGTGTTCTTTAAAAGAAAGCTTTCTGGAGGTTTTAATATTTAAGTTTATAATTTTTTTACCATTATAAATGGGATGACTAAATCCATGTTCCTTCAAATCTCTGGTATTAAATATATCAAATAAAACTACTTGTCGCATTTTTTTAATCGAGATCCCAAGATTTCTACAGCAACGTTAATTTTTTATTATGTCACTACCTACAAGATGGTAACAAATTATCGAACAGAATGGACCCATATATATTATAACTAGCTGTTCCCCGCGACTTCGCCCGCGTGTTATTTGGGGTTTTAATTTTTTTGCGCGGAGCCTTAATTCTTTTCTGCCGACTTCCAAAAAGGAGCCGGTACTCAATTCGACTGTATGTTTTTTTTTTTCGTTTTTTTTTTATGTGTGTTACCTCAGAACTTTTTTTTGGGTGAACCGATTTCGATGATTCTTATTTTATTTGAAAGCTGGTACTTCTCGTATGGTCCCATATGAATTTGATCAAGGTCAGACCAATAGTTTTTAAGTTATTCTTAAATAACTTATATTGAAGTCGGCTGTACAAAATTTTTAATTTTAAATTATTCTAAAATAAAAGTAGCCTAAGTTACTCCTTGTGACATCAGATATCTGCTAGTGCAAATCCCGTCAAAATCCGTCCAGCCGTTTCGGAGATTAGCCGGAACAAACAGACAGGCAGACAGACAGACAAAAATTTTAAAAATTGTATTTTTGTTATTAGTACCGTATAGACTTTCATATGCATTTAGTAAAAATCTGTAATTTTGACATTACAAACAGACACTTCAATTTTATTTATATGTATAGATGTATAGAATGTATAGAATGTATAGATTAAATGTAATAAAACTTTAAAACAAAAACGTCTTGAATTTGTTTACAATATACGAAGAAACTTTTTCCCCGGTCTTATATACTAACTAAAGGTGTACAAAATAGTACTTAATAACTTAGGGAATGATTCTGCCCGTCAACATGAATATTTTTTATTATGGGATCATCTTCGAAATTTTCAATTTATACGTGACAGACCCATACCGCAGCTATATTACTGGTATAGTTGTAGCACGAATGGGTCAGCTCGACCGGGGAAGGACCACGCTCTCACAGAATACCAGTGTGAAATAGGAGCTTAACGCTGCTGTGTTTCCTATGGTGAGTGTAGAGAACCGGAGACCCTTTTTACTGGAAACGAGGCATTCCATCTTAGTCCTCAGGGGTTGCAACGCATCTGCATTTTGATTCTTAACCGAGGATAGATGTAGATGTCTATGGGCAACAGCAACCACTTACCATCACGTGGACTGAGTGCACGTTTGTCACCCTGGTCCTATAAAAATATCTCAAAGTCAGTTATTCCATACACAATTTCGTACAAACTTGCTCAAAATGTATGGAAGACCTGATTTTTCTTGCGATGTGGAAGATGGATCTATAGTAAAAGTTGTTCATATTAACGCGTAGAGTAGAAAGCACTATTTTGATTACACCATATATATAACTATTTTTTTTTAATAATTTGTGAATATTAGTTAGACATGTAAATAAAAAAATAAACTGATAAAAAGGAGGCCTTATCATTTATATGTCATTTATTCTGAAGAAAAACCTATACATAATATACACAAATATATTGATACATTCGTTATTAATAAACTATTTATTTTTAGGTATTTATGGAATACATTCATAACTATGAACATAACTACTAAGCCATAGCATAAAATAAATTTTCCCGTTAATCGGGTAATAGTTAAGCTGCACACATATACAATTTTTCACGCACACTAGCATCATGCAAATTGTCTTATACACACTACAATATTAAGATGCCGCGATCATGGAGCGGTTACTTGCAGGGAGCGCGGTATCTAGTCAGAGCGCGCGATGACTTATCATTAATCTATGCTTTCAGGCATCACAGTACATCACTCGCCTTCGATTTGCCGACGATATAGTCCTTATCACAGAACTGCCGGAGAACCTAAGCACCATGCTCAATGACCTCAATAGTGTCTCCCAACGAATAGGTCTTAGGATGAACATGGACAAAACAAAGATCATGTTTAATGTCCATGTCACACATATGCCGGTAGTTGTTGGGAGCACTAAGCTCGAAGTTTTTGACGAGTATGTTTACCTGTTTACGGTAAACATACTTGTCATTCGGTACAAATAGTCCGACTAGGTAAGTCCAACTTCGACCGAGAGGTCAAAGACATACCTCGAAACCTTAAAACGAAATTGTACAATCAGTGCGTGTTGCCAGTGATGACTTACGGATCTGAGACGTGGTTCTTCACTGCTGGCCGTATGAGGAAGCTGAAGGTCGCTCAGCGAGCTATGGAGAGGGCTATGCTCGGGGTTGCTCTGCGTGATAAACTTAGAAATGAGGATATCCGCAGTAGAACCAGAGTAACCGACATAGCCCAACGGGTTAGTAAGCTGAAGTGGCAGTGGGCCGGCCATATAGCTCGAAGAACCGACAACCGATGGGGAAGAAAGGTTCTTGAGTGGCCGCCTCGTACCGGTAGGCGAAGTGTAGGGCGATCCCCCACGAAATGGAGTGACGACCTGGTAAGACATGTAGGAAATCGATGGATGCAGGTGGCTCAGGACCGTGTTTTGTGGCATTCCTTGGGGGAGGCCTATGTTCAGCAGTGGACTTGTGAAAGGCTGTAATGATGATGATGATGATGAATTTTCCGCATATATTACTCTACTCTATGTCAGGCTTACTCTCTCCTTTCTCTGTATAAGTATGTTCTGTGGCAGCATTAAGGAATATGATCTCTCTTATATATCTATATATCTACAACCTAGAGATATAATATATAAAAAATGAAAGCTAAGATATTTTGGAGGGAACTTGACCACCGGTGGATTGTAGATCCTGTTTTATTGTGTAAATAATAATTCTAAGTGAATTTCGATACATAAAACTGCTGCGATTTTGTGTACAAAACGTAAGTGAATGTGAACTATTAGTGGAAACTATGTAATAAGTGTAAAGCATAATTATATAAATCTCAGGTTTTTTATTCGCTTAGAAGCTTTGACATATTATCAACATCAACTGTCCTTTGGGGTTAAGTTGTTTTTAAAATTTCCTAAGAATGTCGCAATGTGACTCATTACCAAATTGTGACGAGTTTTCTGAACAAATGTAATAAGACTGTATGGTCTAAGACATTTGCGTGTTTTATTTGGCGAATCGAAACAAAAACCAATAACCATTTCTTTATCCAACATTTATTTTATGAATAACAACAATTTATGCTTTCTCGCTAAGGTGTCCGTACGCGTGTATGTAAGTGTGTGTCTCACCCGTAGGCGGCGAGCATCCAGTTGAGCGCGTTGGCGAGCAGCAGCAGCGCAAGGCGCGCGCTGTACAGCGGACGCGCACTACGCCGCAGCTCGCGCGCAGCCTCCGCCACGCTCTCCTTCTCTGCACGCACCACGCACCACATATACAACTCTCAATTAACAACTCACGACTTATAACTTACTGACTAAGTGACAAGGCTCTCAAACCAACAAACAAACACTTACGTTTCTGTGTCTCAAAGTATTGAGAGGGAGAAGAGAGAACGTTTTTAAAAAAAAAAGAAGTCCCGCTGAGGTTTTTTTGTTGGTTTTTCCCATGACAGAGGCTTATTTCCGAACAGGTAGTAAATTATACAAACGATTGACTTTGGATAAGTATAATATATTTAAAAAAAAAAACTGAATGAATAAGATTCTTTTTTTTTCCTGTTTCTGAACACACACGGAGGAATACGTACGTAGAGTTCTGCCTATCTTTCTTTGTTAGTTTGAAACATGAGTGTGAATTCTAGTCGCAACTTTTTATTTTAGCTTCTTCTATTCAAGCCACATACAAACATCACGCAACGCACGCACAGAAGCGCGGGGTTCATCTATTACTGTAGCAAGAAGAGAAATTACCAAGATATTTAGTACAAAGGACGCGAGCATATACTTCATATCAATTCGTCAATATTGTAAAAATGATAGAAGAAACTAAATCAGGAGATGGCCAGCAGTATTTTTCTGAAAAATATTTAAAAAAAAACTGCGGTTATCGACCCGCCTGCCAAGCGTGACAACTATGATCACCCATATGAGGCAATCTAAGGGGAGACTTGTGTTCAGCACTGTACTTTAGATAGCTGTAATGAATGAACTAATTTAAATGAAACACAAGATAGGCAGTGGCATCGTCCTAATATAAACTCAAAATAATAAATAACTGCGGTTGCCGACACCTTCCAAACGTAGCAACTATTGCGCAATACCCCCTTTGAGGTAATCTATGTATCTTACCTAGTTTGCAGAGCAACCTCACCCCCACCCTTCCTTAATTGCGTGCGCTATTCCCGTCACTAATCCTAACACCACTACACTAGGAAAGACACACCACCGTCGATAATACGACACTCTGAACGAGGCATCTTTAGGTGAAGTAGACTGCTGTGGCTGGCGGTGAAGGAGGGTGGGAGATGCTCTTCAAGCTAGGTAAGACACATCAATTTATTTTATTACGCGGATCTTAGATAATTAACTTTTAACACCTTTAACATATCAAATTTTTCGAAGAGTGCAATTAGAAGTGGTGTAAACTAGTAGCGTACCAAGTCGGAACTGTCCCACGTAGTAGATGCGCAACGAGAGCAGCAGGAAGGTGGCCACATGCAGCGCGCTCCACACGCCCCACAGCAGCGGCCCGCCGCCGCCCAGCACGCCCCACACCACTGCCACACCCACCACATATCCATAGAAGCAATATGTACTACGTACTAGAACAGCCACCGCGAATAAAATGTGTTCGCCAGTGCGGCCGCGTGGCACCAGGCACAGAGTACCTTTTTATGGCATAGAGTAAGTAAGCGTGTTGCAAAGGACCAAGTCCCGGTGTCTATTCGAGTACGAAGTACATATATTACTTAAAGACCGCACATCATAACACATTTATGCTATAATGCTTTTTAGATTTACAATACCAGCATTTCTATTCTTCTTTATCCTGTTGAAATTGGATATCAGACGGTGGCCTAAATCGTCACATCTTAGATTATTTACTCTCTACATAAAGCCTCACGCAATAAGGGATGCAACAAAAACTGGCCAGTTAGAGATGAAGCGTATATACTAGAACAGATCTACGCACCAGATATTAATCGGGGCTAGGTTGCACCTGTTCCAACATTTAAAATACGAGGGCGACACTGAAAGTTTTTAGAACTGGCCACTTGTAAACGATATTATAAAAAAAATAAGTTCAAATTTTACCAGCTCCAGGATCTTCTAGTCAGTACTTACTCTGGGTGCGTGCGTTATATGTTGCCAGGTCGAGTCGTCTTAGGTGGTAACCGAACGTTATATACATGTATTATTCTGACAATTTATGTAGTCACCTCTAATGACACCAAGAAAAAATAGGATGGTAGATTATTTTACGCCGTCACCACGTAGAAAAGCAATGCTATTAATTACTTTTCTAATATCAGCAGTATTAGAAAAATAAAATACACATAAAATAAAAACAATAGTTCTTTGAAGTCGGTTTTTACTTTTAATTAATACTTTAAATTCTTGACTCTATTGAGTGGGCTAAAAAGAAAATCACAAGTTCAAAGGAGCAACTTGAATGTCGTCTAAACAATTACATTTAAATCTTCACCCCTATTTATCCATCCATAAGAGTGAAATTTTTTCTCCAAAATATGGGACTATATATAATAAATAAAATTGGTTCACGATTGACGCGTTTAACGCGTAATATACCTACAAAACATACTGTTCAATTAACAAACTCCTCTTTGTCTGAAGTTGAATAAAACCGCTGCTTAGTGGTAGTAATAAGTGGTAATAGACAGAAAGAGTTTGTTAGGTGCACGTACCGATGGCGATGAGCACAGCGAGCGCGGCGAAGGTGGAGTGTGCGCGCGCGTTGACGTCGGGGTGGCGCGACTGGTACACCTTCACCATGCTCAGCACCGCCAGCACGTACATGAACGCCGTGTCTGCACACCACACCACACCACCATCATTTTCTACTTACGAACCGCATTACACCAAACGCAACAATTGTATTTTGAGGTGAAATATTCGACAGATTTTATAGCGGGGTAAGTTAATTTGAAAGAAAAGTGTAAAGATTAATGTTTCTTTCCGAAATATTATATACGTGGTAGAGCCATGCTGCAGCTATATTATGGTTGTAGAACGAATGGGTCAGCTCGACCGGGGAAGGACCACGCTCTCACAGAATACCAGCGTAAAATAGCAGTTTAACACTGATGTGTTTCCTATGGTGACTGTAGAGAATCGGAGACCCTTTTACTGGAAAAGAGACATTCCATCTTCCTCACGGGTGACAATGCATCCGATTCGCTAACGAGGATGATGTAGATGTCTATGGGCCACAGCAACCACTTACCATCAGGTGGACTGTGTGCTCGTTTGTCACCCTTTCATTAATGATATAATAAATTTATTACATAAAAAGGCCCGCTGTGTTTCTTGCTGGTTCTTCCTAGGACAGTTTTTTCTGAACTTAATACCATTATACCACTGATAAGTAAAAATGAGGAAGTAAAAAAGTAGCTTAGTATTAGCGCTCGCTGTTTCACAGTACTCGAGCAACCCGGGTTCGATCCCCGCCGGCACCGATGAAATTGTTGATTGTAATTTTAAGTGCTGATTTACCACGTGCTCGGCGGTGAAGGAAAACATCGTGAAGAAACCGGCATGTCTGAGAAATAAGAAAAAAAATTCGAAGACATGTGAAGTTCACCAACACGCATTGAGGCAGCCAGTTATATTTTTATAGAATAAGGGTGACAGACGAGCAGACGCGACAGATGCGTTGTCATCCCTGAGGACTAAGTGAAATGCTTCGTTTCCAGTAAACATGGTCTCCGGTTCTCTACATTCAACATACATTCAACAAAACATTAAGTTGCTATTTTACGTCGGTATTCTGAGAGAGCGTGGTCCTATCCTACCCCGGTCGAGCTGAAATATTTGTGCTACAACCATAACATAGCTGCAATATGGCTCTACCACTTTCAAAACTTAGAATTAACTTGGAGTTTGCGTACCGAACTGGAAGTTAAGTCGATTCGGGCAGACGTGGTAGCTGGCGGACATCAGCGCGACCACCATCATGGCGGCTCCCAGAGCTGACAGCAGCCCGTAGTGTGCCGGGATGCCGTAGTCCTAAAGTATTTAATATAATATATACTTTTTAACCGACTACGGCAAAATTAAAAGTAAAAATGTCTTTAACTGCATCCTGAGTTATTCATTATTTTTAATTCTTTTAAAAACGTTTAAAGTTAAACGTTATGGATAAGCCTTCTCTATATCTATAGCCATTTTCAGTTTGGCAATATATCTTTTTTTATATTTGGTACACCCAGCTCAATAGTCTTTTGTTCAAGAATTTTCTATGATTTTGATATACTGCTTAGTTCAGATATGGGTTTATAATTGTTAACATCGTCTCTGTCAAAATAAACGTCGATGTAATAAACCCGTTTGAAAGCATAAGTTATCTCGCTAACAAAATCTTTGCGGTGTTTTAATAATATTATGGATACACCGAAACCGCAGAATCCATAGAGTCATAAGTATGCTTTCAATTTCCTAGAGGTCAGTATCCAGTTACATGCACGAAGACACTTGAGAATTAAGTAAAGTTGGTAAAGGGTTGTTGAAAATATGACTTTGAGGTAAGGTAAGGTAGAAATAAGAGAGTAAGATGAAAAGGGCTATTAATAAGTTATTGTTGAGATCACTAAATTATTTATTTTCACATCTTTAAAGCGATATATGATCTTTAAATATTTTAATATATATATATATATATATATATATATATATATATATATATATATATATATATATATATATATACCGTGTAGTAAGTGTATTAGAGGGCCAGTGTAATCACAGAATGTAAGATATTCCATCTTAGTCCTCAGAGGTGTCAAGTTGTTCAGTGACAACGCATCTATTTGTTTTTGTTTGACGGGGGCTGCACCCTGCAGCAGCTGTTCAACATTATATGAACTGTTAATTCGTTTGTCACTACAATTTTATATATAATATCGTATAACGCGGGCGATTGCGAAATTCGCTGAGAGTGCACGCACGGCTTTGGTTTGCTACTAAAAAAAATTTTCCAATGAGTGATTATAGTACAGTGTGCATATCGGTGAGTAATGAGGGCGGGTTGGGTACCTGGTGGCGGGGGCGGCGGCGGCGGCGCGCGCGGCGGCGCTGCACCTGCAGCAGGAACAGCGCGCCCAGCAGCAGGTAGCCCGCGTTCGAGAACACGTGGTTGAAGTCGTGCAGCAGCCCCGCCGGGTGCGCGCACAGGAAGTTGTAGTAGCACGTGTCCAGCGACCCCGACACGTTCATCATCTGCACCCAGCCCGCAACCGCCCATCATCATTCAAATAATTAAAGGATCACTTTGTATATTGATCGTTGTGTTTATTTTTTATTTTATAGAATAACTAGCTGACCAGGCAGATGTTTTTCTGCCCTTTCCGACGACCATGTGTTCTAAGAAAATAATTAAATTCACAATAAAGAAAACTGAGAGTCACTTTATCGGGATAAAAACTATTCTATCTGTCAAGTTGGACCAAACTGCACACATTGTGAAACATTTCATTGAAATCAGTTCAGTAGTTTAGGAGTTCATCGCGGACAAACAATGTGACACGTAATTTTTATATATAAGGATGGTGATAGACGAGCACACAGTCCTTCTGATGGCAAGTGAATGCTGTGGCTATAGACATCTACATTAGTCCTCGTAAATTAATTAATCCTTAAAATGCAGATGTGTTGTCACCCCCGAGGACTAAGATATAATGCCTTGTTTTTTAACCAACTTCAACGAGGAGGAGGCACTCAATTTGGCTGTATATTTTTAAATATTTTTTGTGTGTTACCTCTTAACTTTTTTCTAAGTGAATCGATTTTGATGACTGTTTTTTATTTGAAAGCTGGTGCTTCTCATGTGGTCCCATATAAATTTGATTGAGGTATGAGTAAAGTAGTTTGTTTAGTTATCCTTAATAATTTATATTAACGTCGATTGCACAAAATTTTTAATTTTACTACTTGTTAGTAAAAAGAGTCTTAGACTGTCCACTCCTTAAGAAACAACAACAGTATTAAGCCGCTATTTTACAGAGGTATTGGAGAGCGTGGTCCTACCCCAGAGGAGCCATCCCATTCGTGCTGCAACCATAATACAGTTGTAGCGTGGCTCCAGCACATATAATACTGTGGGGGCACTCACGAGGTGTATGACGGCGACGAACTGCACGACGGGCAGCGCGTAGAAGACGGCGACGGTGACGAGCGTGTACAGGTAGCGGTCGGAGCGCGCGCGCAGGGTGCGCTCGCGGCGCCGCGCCAGCGCCGCCAGCCGCAGCCGCGCCGGCAGCCCGAACGGGCCCGCGCGCTGCCGCCCCGCCACCACGCACAAACTCATCGTTACATCCACGACACGTCATCTAGGTACACTCCCGAACGGAGTCGCACGCTACCAGCATCCACACCACGTGCTCATACTCGTAAACTCATCCAAAAACTTCTATGTGTATCTTTCTTGTTTTTCATAAAATGGGTTTATATTTACATTATAAATAGAAACATTAAAAAAATATCGATATTTTAGAAATCGATTTTTTGGGAATCGATACATCAGCTTACAATTCGAATCTATTTAAAATCGATCTTTTTCGGAAAGAATCGACATTCCTACTGACAATAATAAAAAAATGGCGTCAGTTTCACGGTAGGAATTGACATAAATATTGCAAAAATATTTGATTTACAATATTTTTTCTCAATAAGTGCGTGTTTCCGCATATTGAAACGTTGTGCGTGTGCTTATAAAAATGTAATCTTTCTGTAAAAATACGTATCGACACCAAACTCGACGGACGTCAATGGAAAGTCGTAAAATAACAGCTTACAATCATGTATGTTACACAAATTAACAACACAACAAATTAGAAATAGCTTGGTAGAGATCACCTCATTTCCAGGGGTTATTATCATCTATAAATTCTTTAATATTATAATAACCCTTTTTATACAAACTTAGTTTAATAAAGTTTTTGAACTTTGAGCAGGTCGAATTTTGTATAATTTCTGGAATTTTGTTGTAAACACATTTGACACAATTTTGTTGTACATCGCCCAAGAATGAATTACTGACTCAATCATCGCCCCAAGAATAAATTACTGAGTCGAGTAACTGGTATTACTAGCTTGTGTCTGTTCCTAGTATTTACAGAATGAATATCACTTATTTTTGTAAAACTACTTTTATTTTGTGTACGTACATTACATTTTCATAAATGTATTCAGAGGCCAAAGTTAATATATTAATTTCCTTACATTTAAATATAAAAATATAAATTGCTCTTATGGCCCTCTTCTGTAAAACAAATATAATTTCAGTGTCAGCTGCATGTCCCCATAGCAAAATACCATACGACGTTATGCTATGGAAATAGCTAAAGTAAACTATATATATATATATTATATATATAGTTTCAACACTGGTTAGACTTCTAATCTTTTTTACAACATATGCTGCAGAACTAAGTCTGCTTGCTATTTTTGATGTATGGGGGCTCCATTGAAGCTTCGCGTCTAGTGTGATTCCAAGAAAAATGGTGGTATCTACAAGACTCAGTTTCTTCCCATTTAAAATTACATTAGTATTTAATTGTTTGACATTTGGAGTCATGAATTTCATACATTTCGTTTTAGTGTCATTTAAGTGCAAATTATTAACATTGAACCAATTTACTAATTTAGATTCACTTGTCATATTTTAGTAATTGTCGACTTAATTTGAAAATTAAAGAAGTGTCATCTGCAAATAATACTATATCATGGTTATGCCCTACTATGTAAGGTAAGTCATTAATGTATACAAAAAACAGAAAGGGGCCGAGAATTGAGCCTTGCGGCACGCCCATTTGTAGCATCGGCCCGGAAGAGCTCATACTGTTAATGACAACTGTTTTCGTTCTCTTACTAAAATAATAAATTCATAAATTCAAATAAAAAAATAATTAATTTAAGAGCACCACTTCTTACACCGTAGTGTTGCAGTTTCCTGATTAATGTTTCATGGTGAACACAATCGAAAGCCTTGGATAGGTCACAAAATATACCCAAAGGATACTGTGAATTCTCCCATGCATTAAAGATATATATACTATATTAAATAAATAAAGTAACGTTAAACATAAGTATCTAAAATGGAATACATTATTATTAAGTGTCTTCACCTGTTCATCGGTGGTATTAGTGCCTCCATTGGCGTGCGGTGACGCTGCGGGCGAGACGAGGGAGACGGGGGAAACGGGGGAGACTGGGTCAACGGGGGTCGTGAGAGCGACTTGGGCAGTGGGGGAGGTGGGGGTGGCGGGGAAGATAGGGGAGGCGGAGGCAGATTCCTCCTCCTCCTCGGACGAGCTGCCGTCGCTGCTGTCGAAAGTGTCGTCTGAAATAGTAGTAAAATAAGTACAATCCACCTTTACATACGTGGTAGAGCCACGCTACGGTTATATTATGGTTGTAGCACGAATGGGTCGGCACGACCGGGGAAGGACCATGCTCTCACAGCATACTAGCGTAAAATAGCAGCGTAATGCTGCTGTGTTTCGTATGGTGAGTGTAGAGAATCGGAGACATTTTATCGGAAACGAGGTATTACATCTTATTCCACACTCCACAGGGGCAACAACGCACATACATTTTGATTTTTAACCAAGGATACGTCATATATATCTATCTACCCTATCTATGGGTGAAAATATCCACTTACCATGAAGTGGACTGTGTGCTCGCATGCCACTTTTATTCTATAGAAAAATACCTGATGGTATGTGGATACACACCGACATTTCCATCTCCGATTAAGAATCAAACTACGTCGCAAAATTAGAATATTAAGATAAAATGCCTTGCTGTCAGTAAGAAGAATTTTATCTCTCGTCACTGACTTTAAAATACATGGCAACATTACGCCGCTATGTTGCGCCGGTGGCTGTAAGAGCGTGGTTCCTCCCCCGTTCAAGCCGACCCATACATACTGCCGTCATAATACAGCTTTTGATAACATATCTCAAAGGATCATGATAGCGAAAGGAATATTTTTGCTTATATAGAAGAACAAAAGCTTGGTTTAATTTGAGAGAGTCGATTACTTTACTTGAGCCTCGCCGGCGACGAGCCGGTGTGCTTGTAGCTGGAGCTCCGTTAGTTTGTGTTGGTAGAGCTTCTTCTATTACTGTAAATAAAATATGACAAGATGTCCATTAACATACTGTGTTGCGTAATAGCGGCGTAAGAGAATCCAATACCATTACCCCATATTACAATACAATATAATACTCTTTCAAAACTTTACAAAAATAAAACAGTATTGAGGAAAAAACAAAAAAAATTGCTACATAGCAAGCTCTTCCAGACAACCCAAAAAGAAATTAAATAAAAATAAGAGAAAGATTAACGGGTAAGGTACACTAAAATAAGAAAGGACACAATCTTATGCCCTAAAAGGACAACAAAATTTAGATGGTAGATTAGTAACCGTAAATAAAGAAGAGAGAGGGATTAGAGAGACAAAAAGTGTTCCTTAAACTGTTTCATGAACAAATTTTAGGATTGAGCACATTTATTCGACGGGGGTAATGAGTTCCAAAGTCTTACTCCAAGAACAGAGAAAGATTTATCGTAATATATTTTTTTTATGGGATCGGGTGACAAACGAGCACACAGTCCACCTGGTGGTAAGTGGTTGCTGTGGCCCATAGACATCTACATCTATCCTGGTTTGCGAATCAAAATGAAGATGCGTTGTCACCCGTGAGGACTAAGATGGAATGCCTCTTTTCCAGTAAAAGAGGTCTCCGGTTCTCTACACTCACCATACTAAACACAGCAGAATGAAGCTGCTGTTTTACGCTGGTATTCTGTGAGAGCGTGGTCCTTTTCCGGTTGAGCCGACCCATTCATGTTACAACTATACTACTAATATAGCTGCAGCATGGCTCTACCACGTATATATATATAGAGAGAGAGAGAGGGTGCACAGTAAGGAAAAATTATGACAAGAGCTGAGCAATTTAAAACGTTCTTTTTGATAGGGAGGAATTGATATATTAAATACTAGCTTTTTACCCGCGGCTTCGCTCGCGTAGCAAATTTAGCGAAATTCGATCACTTTTAGAGTCACCTCGGTGCCTGTGTTTCTGTCTGTCAAAGATTTTTTTTGAATTCTAAAAGACTATTAGACGTAGATTAGGTATATGGCATAGATAGGTATAATATGTTACAGGAACACGTAAATATATATGTCTAGAAACACCTACAGTTTTTTATATCGGGCGTGTCTTCCGATGTATCGATAAGAAAGGTAAATTTTAGGCGATAGTAGAACATGCCTTGCGCTTTCGCTTAAGGCATGCAATTGTCTCGTAATCAAAATTTATTATTATCTATTATTTACATTTTACTCTTTACATTCATTCATAATTAAAGTTAATTTAGTTTTAACAAAATAATGATGAGTTTCACGGTCTTCTATCAATTTACGGCATAATGTTTATTTCAGATATTTTATACACATATAATGAATAGAATGGCTCTCCAGCACCTTAAAAACGGTAAGGCCCCAGGCGAGGATGGAATTACAGCGGAGCTTCTGAAAGCGGGTGGAAGACCGGTACTTGAAGTCCTTCAGAAGCTCTTTAATTCCGTCCTCCATGGTGGCATTACACCGGAGGCGTGGAGCAGAAGTGCGGTGGTCTTGTTCTTCAAGAAAGGTGACAACGCTCTCTTGAAGAACTACAGACCGATTTCCCTTCTGAGCCGCGTCTACGTGCTGTTTTCGAGAGTCATTACGAATCGTCTCGCGCGCAGACTTGACGACTTCCAGCCTCCCGAACAAGCCGGTTTCCGAAAGGGCTTTAGCACCATAGACCACATACATACCCTTCGGCAAATTGTACAGAAGTCCGAAGAGTACAATTTGCCACTATGTCTGGCGTATGTGGACTATGAGAAAGCCTTTGATTCCGTCGAAATTTCGGCGGTGCTACAGTCCTTTCAGCGGTGCGGTGTTGACTGTCGGTATATCGAAGTGTTGAAGTGTTTGTACAGTAGAGCTACGATGGCTATCCGAGTGCAGAACCAGAGTACGAAACCTATCCAATTGCAGAGAGGTGTAAGACAGGGTGACGTCATATCCCCGAAACTCTTCACCGCTGTATTGGAAGACGTTTTCAAGCTTCTGGACTGGAAAGGATACGGTATCAACATCAATGGCGAGTACATCACTCACCTTCGATTTGCTGACGATATAGTCCTTATGGCAGAATCGTTGGAGAACCTAAGCACTATGCTCAATGACCTCAATAGTGTCTCCCAACGGATAGGTCTTAAGATGAACATGGACAAAACAAAGATTATGTTTAATGTCCATGTCACACCTATGCCGGTAGTTGTTGGGAGCACTAAGCTCGAAGTTGTTGTGTTTACCTGGGACAAATAGTCCGACTAGGTAAGTCCAACTTCGACCGAGAGGTCAATCGACGGATTCAACTCGGCTGGGCAGCGTTCGGGAAGCTACGACACATTTTCTCGTCAGACATACCTCAAAACCTTAAAACGAAATTGTACAACCAGTGCGTGTTGCCAGTGATGACTTACGGAACTGAGACGTGGTCCTTCACAGCTGGCCGTATGAGGAAGCTCAAGGTCGCTCGCAGTAGAACTAGAGTAACCGACATAGCCCAACGGATTAGTAAGCTGAAGTGGCAGTGGGCCGGCCATATAGCTCGAAGAACCGACAATCGATGGGGAAGAACGGTTCTCGAGTGGCAGCCTCGTACCGGTAGGCGAAATGTAGGGCGACCCCTCACTAGATGGAGTGACGACCTGGTAAGACATGCAGGAAGTCGATGGATGCAGGTGGCTCAGGACCGTGCTTTGTGGCATTCCTTGGGGGAGGCCTATGTTCAGCAGTGGACTTATGAAAGGCTGTAATGATGATGATGATGATTCATATATATCATTGGTCCTATTTAATAATGATTGGCACCATAAAATAAATGTAAATATTTTTTTTTTACGTTCGAGTAGACTTCAAAATTTAGTATACAGTATACTACACATGAAATAAAACTAATGTTACGGATTTTATCACGTCTAATTTTAACTTTTTTACGTTAGGTTTTTTTAGGCATCTTTGGATGAAAGTTCCATAAAAACCCGCGTAAAAGAACATATAGTTGATGTGAAACACTGTCGCTCCGGGAAGTCTAAAGTATGTCAACATGTTTAGTATCGTCCCAACCATCATATCGGCTCTGATATACAAATCCTTGTAATAGAACACCGATTCCTACCAATGATGATTCGCGGGGCTATTGAAATTAAAAAACACATCCTAATTTTAATAGGGAAGATGGCTGAGTGGTAAGATCTGCTAAGAGCCCCATCGTTAATAAATTAAAATTCAAACCCAAGCATACTTCTGCATTTATTCTATTATATTCTATTCTATTCTTATTCTATTCCATTCTAACTGTAATATCAGGTCGTCAAAAACCTCAGTCCTACCGTGACCATGGGTGCTGTAAAGTGCCCAAAACATCGGGAATTAAAAAAGTTAAAATAAATGCGATAAGATCCTTAAAATTAGTTTTATTTCTTATAAATTTTATTCACAGTGAACCTGGGAAGCACTAATCTCATGAACGGGAGTAGAAAAATGTTCGCCTTGTTGTGGCGGTGAAAGAGAATCCGCCACCTCATATAGTACCGTCATAAGAGGTGTCATAGGACCTAGGACATGACATGACATAGGGTAGCATCATCTTCCTGACAAAAGATCAAAATAATAATAGCTGCGGTTGCCAACCAGCCTACCAAGCGTGGCAACTATTGCAAATATCCAGCCACTTGACAATTTATGCGGGAGGCCTATGTTTATTTCAGTGGACTTTTTTTAGAGTGAAAACAAAAAAGCGACATACCCGAAAATATGAATGAAATATAAACTGCATATATTGCCCCATGAAAAGTAAAAAATAGCAGCTTAAATACACGTTACTACTGGGCAATGGCCGCATAAAGTTTTTGGGCCAAAAAAGTGTTCGCTGCGCTGATTCCAATGCCGGATGACCTCAACTGGGAAACTTCTCAGATATGCAGGTTTTCCTTAATCGCCGAGAACGTGGTAAATCGACACTTCAAATTGCAATTAATATATAATATGCTGAAATATTTAATAATGCTTACGTACCATGAAATTTAAGTTTTTATCAGTTGCATTACCGCCTTTGACAAGTAAAATAAAAAGAACCTTTGTTTAAAACAGTTTAAGTAAAATTTGCTTTAAAAAAAGAGCCAATTAATTTACAAATACTCATATGAGCTATGAAACCAAGACTGTCACAAATATCTTAATATGTCCGAAAATATGAAAGCTACCTTAAATTACAAAATGATTATAAATCTAATTAAAGGTAAAAAAAGTAAAGTAGCAGCTAATATACGTCTCACTACTGTGCACAGGGCTCCTTATTAGCTATAGTGTTTTGTTGGCAGAAAAATAGAGTGCGCTGCAAGCTTTAATGCATGTTAACGGTTTTCACATCTCCATGACTATTTTAACTACTCAGACATCTAGGTTTCCCCACGAAGTTATTCTTTACCACTTTAACGTTAAGTTTTCTATTACAGATTCATCCTCGAGGGAATCGTACACGCTTTGCTCCTGTGCCATGATGAAATCTCACGGCGAGAGCAACACGGCCCTCATATTTGTTTAAATACAATTCATTAAAACTGAAACTAAGCTTTTGCATGATTGTTGACCACATCTACCTAGTAATTACACATCCAACGTTGCCACGAACGAATTTTCAATTATTTACATCGTATATTCAGTAGCATTCTATTATTTAATTATATCAGATACTTACCATTTTAGTTTGTTTAGTGGTAAGTAGATGGCGCTATTATTAGATGAAATAATTAAAGCCAAAACTATATTATCTAATAATATCAGCAATAGAAGTGAGCATTTATTTATTTTATCAATAAGGCATAAAGTGATGTCAATTCTCTTAAAAGTTCTGTTTCTGTTAAAAATATACGCTATCAGCGCCGGTAGCGGTGAAAAACGATTATATCGTCATATGACTATATCATGAAATTGCAACGTTTCTAGTTATTAATATCTTCAAACGATTTCTATTCATTGATTTGGTTAAGTTATATCATGAGATGGTCAACAAACAGTGTTAAATATCACGAAATGACTACACCGTTTCACGAAATGATAGACTACTTTATATGATCTATCCTACGATCTGGCCACGACATATTATATAAAAATCTCTTTAATAAAACTATAGTGATAATGAAAATTTTGCAATAATTGCAGACAGACCAGTTTTAGTCAGTTTACATATAGATTAGTAATTGAAATAAAATTTTCATATTTTTGATTGATCTTCTATTGAAATTATTACACTTTTAAAATAAAATAACAAAAATACTAAGGAAACTAAACGTTACAGTTTTTAAATAATTTTAAAAATCTTATTATTTAAATATATTATAAATGTAAGTTACTTGTATTATTATTTTATTGGTACCTGAAGGCAAAATATATTACTTTTTCTATTTGATGATAGATGGCGCTGTTTTCATAACTAAATCTGTGTAATTTCAAATTGTTTTACCAAGTTTATAACTATATTTCATACTTTATTTATAAATATGGTATTTATTTGAAAAACACCCGTCATCCCATCTATAACTAAGATATAATAGAAAATCAACATCTAAAGGAAGGAAAATACTTAACCTTCTTTTTTTAAAGTTCCGTGATCGGATAAAAAGTAGCCTATAAGTTGCCCCGGGTTACTAATTACCTATATACAAAATTTCATGTAAATCGGTCCAGTAGTTTTTGCATGAATCCGGAATACACAGACAGGCAGACAGACAGACAGACAGATAGACAGACAGACAGACAGACAAAAATTCTAAAACCCACTGATTTGGGATCAGAATCCTTTATTTAGTCCCCTGGACTTGTTTTTTCAAGAATATATTAGAATTACAGACACGACTTTTCTACAGATTTATTATATGTATAGAAGATGTAGTAGAGGGCAGACATATTATTCCGTGTTTGTCGTAAGAGGCGACAAAAGGAAATGAAATTGGACATGGGCAGCAGCATCTTCAACAAGGACCTATAGTTGCAAAGACTTCTATGTATCCTACTAGACGGGCTCTGTGACCTTAATACATTGCGCACTCAGTTACGGTCAATTCTCTCTAACTCTTTTAGTCGACTGTGAGTGGATTAGAAGACTAGTACTTTGTTTTGTGAGCCGCGAACGTTGTTGATTTTGTGAAACGTGACCAAGAAAACGCTGTCATTAATTATGTGCGCACATCGTTAACGTGATGTGTAGTTTATTTCAGATAAGTATGTAATTTTATTTCGCATTTTCCTGAAAAGGGCGACTGTCGTTAATGAAAATACAACTGCGTGGCATATATAACGTATACTGCGTATACGCCCGTGCCCGCGCTTTTGCGATCCACAACTGAGACACAGTTTAAATTCTGAATAGACCAGCAGTCTAGTAGTCTACATAGAATTCTTTGTATGGTTCTATATAAAGTTTTCTGTGGTACTAAGCGCGCTGTACATAAAGTTTTCTGTGGTACTAAGAGCGCTGTATGTAAAAGTTGATGGTTTACCGGCAACTTGATTCTGTAAATGTTAATTTTTCATTATACCATCATCATACGTAAAAAAACATATTTTTTTTCTTTGCACACCCTACACAACGCATTTCAAATTAGTACGGAACGCGAAACGAAATTTTAGATTGACTGATCTACTCATATATTAAATATGTGCGCATAGTAAGGTATCTACTGTATCTTTTAGATTGCCTCGTTGCTCTAATGATTATAAACGCGGTTGTTGATCATGTGGTCGCGGATTCGAATTCCGAATCAGGCTGAAATCAGTTATTGGATTTTTCTGTCAAAAAGTTTTTAGTAGCAGGCCGAAGACAGGAAGTTAACGGTGTCTTGCGTCCTGCGCCTGATCTATCCCCGGTCGTGACGGATTACCGTCCCATCGCACTTCGAGAGTAAAAGAATAGAGAGTGCATCTGTGCTTGCGCATACACTCGTGTGCTAGTCTCCATTGCGACTGGCCTCCGTGACCGAAGTGCGGTTTGGAGGACTTCATACAGTACGTTTGAAGTGTTCGTGTTGAGTAGGTACTCAGAACAACAAAGAAAGAGAGACGGAGCGCTGCGTAAATTTACTTGCGATGTCAAAATCAAGCTCAACATCTTGACGTACTCACGTACACATCTTTTTTTATACAAGTGATGTAAATATCATGTTCAACACTCGCGTTTACATCTTTTTTCTTTGTTTCTGTATCAGGTATTAACCCCTAAAAGTTCACTGCTAGACGCACATATATGCACCATGTTGTTGGTTGCAAGATCAGTAACTTTAGTATGATTTTGGCTTGGTTTTGGCGTCGCTTGATATCTACGCAGCGTTCCGTTACGCAGCGTACGTTAGGTGTGTGATGGTATACCCGAGGTGTCCGCGAGCACGGCAGTGGGGCGCACCAGATCATGGAAGGGCGGCCAGCGTTGCGCCAGCACGAGCGCGCCAAACGCCACGTAGAACGCCAGGAACAGCGCCATCGTACTGCCGATCGCTACCGCGTACTGCGTGCGGCTCAGCGACGCCTGCGCCATACCCCAAGCATGTTCAGTTTATACACGCCTATACTGGTTTTTTTAGACTATAAAGGTGACAAATAAGCACACAGTCCACATGATGGTAAGTGGATGCTGTGGCTCATAGACATCTACAACTATCCTCGATTTAGATTTAAATGCAGATGCATTGTCACTCCTGAGGACTAAAATGGAATGCCTTGTTTCCCGTATAAAGGGTCTCTGTGTGCGGGGGTGGCTGAGATTTTTATCTTGAGGAAAAAATTGGGTTTAATAGGTGAATGAACAAAGACTTATGTGTTCTACTAGACGAGCTCTGAGGCTGTAATATATTGCACACTAAGTTACACTTCATTTTCCATTACTTCTTTAGTTGACTGCGAGCGTGTGAGAAGCCTAATTATTTGTTTTATAAACCGCGAACCTTGTTTTCCGCAATATCACACTTATTTTGTTTAATCATTAAACTTTAATGTGACTAATAATTTAAAATTAAAAATCTTGTACAGCCGACTTCAATATAAGTTATTAAGAATAACTCAAATAACTCAAAAACTATTGGTCTGACCTTGATCAAATTCATATGGTACTACACGAGAAGTATCAGATTTCTTATAACAAAAGAATCATCGAAATCGGTCCACCCAGTAAAAAGTTATGAGGTAACAGACATAAAAAAAAAACCGTCGAATTGAGTACCGTCTCCTTTTTGGAAGTCGGCAGATAAATGCTGTCATGGTTTATATGCACACTTTGTTAACGTGATTTAAAGTTTATTTATATTTCGTATTTGCCTAAAACCAGGAACTGTCGTAAAAGAAAATACAACTGCCATCTTAATTTATCCATCTCGAACGAATTATAAGTCTAAAGGATAGATATTTTTAATTTTATAAAAATGATTTTTTCAGTTTTGAAAAAATAAAAGAAACGATTTAAAATTACGAAATTCAAATCATATGCACCTTACTTAACGCATGTCCAGTATCAATGAATTTATAACTATTTTGAACCGGACGCTTCGTAAAAAGCATACTTAAAATGAATGATATAAATTGACAGATCAATTTGAGAAAATGTCAATGAAAAAACATCTATGCCCATAAGATTTTACTTTACTTTATTTTTTATTTTAGGAAATGAATAACTTTTTTCCTCACGGTAAAAGAACAACTGACATAAAAGTACAAAACACAGAGTGCGTGCAGAATGTTCCAATACTGTACTCGTAAAACAAAAACCTGTTGGACATTTTTGTACAAACTTTGATATCAAGCTTCGTAGACATAACAATTCATAAACTTATTCAAATAAAAATTATGGTGTTTATGGGCCACAGTAGGTATCCACTTACCTACCATCAGGTGGACTGAACGCTCGTTTGTCGACCTTATTCTATAAAAGAAAATATGATTATAATGAGGCCTCTGTCACAAGAAAAATGCATTTATCTTTCAAATCTGAATGAGTTTTCTATGGTTTGGATTATTTGTGCGCAACACGGCAATAGAGACATACCTCTACGGTGAAGGTGAGTAGCTTGGTACGCGGCGGTGAGTCATGATGTGCTGGCTGGTCACCCAGTACTGCGGCGGCCCATAACCAGGCGGAGTCGTCAGTCCCCACCTCACCACATGCCTCCTGCCTCGCCAGCACCACCGCTACCACCAGGAACCCGCGCGGGTAGCGCCACCGCTGCAAATCATTACACCATGTGGTAAACAAGTGCACCATTTTCATCGTTTACATTATGCTTAACTACCTACCACTTATCTGCCACTGCTGGCAGGCAAAGACTCCTATTTATACATAGGCTGCACTAAAAGTATCGGGATTGGAATATTTCCACTGTTCCTGTCATATTAAAATCTTTTTAATTGAAAAGTCCTTGGTTTTAAAAATCGAATACCATTTATTTATTTAAAAAAAATTCTCGGTCTTGTCACAAGGTTTTGTCAAACTTGTTTAGTCGTTGAGAAAATGGAATTGACTCGAGAAAATTCAAGAGCGATGATTTATTATGACTTTCGAAGTGGTTTAACACAAAAACAGTGTGTTAACCGGATGATTGCTGCATTTGGTGAAAACAACAATTTATCGCTGGTTTGCTGAATTTCAACGTGGACGTGTCAAGCTCAGTGATGATCCCCGTCAAGGTCGTCCAAAAACTGCAGTCACCCAAGAAAACGTTGATGCTGTGCGTAAGTTGATTGAGGAAGATCGACATGTGACATAACGCGAAATTCAGGCAACTTTAGACATTGGCATGAGTCAAGTACAAATAATCTTGCATGAACAATTAGGTGTAAAAAAGTTGTTTTCCCGAAGGATACCGCATTCGCTCTGTGAAGAGCAAAAAGCGGCTCGCATTACTTGGTGCGTCAGAATTCTCGAAACATTCCACGCAGGATCCTCAAATGCTGTAGGTATACAACATCGTATCAGGTGACGAATCCTGGATATACGCGTACGAACCCGAAACAAAAAACCAGTCACGAGTTTGGGTGTTCGAAATTTTTTTAAAAAAAAAAACGTTACCCCCACACTAGGATTTTCTCCTGTATCGTGGAGGCAGTTTACAAACATATATTGCACAAGGACGAACATCCAGACCCGGAACAATTATTTGTAGGCCATACAAATACTTGTTCCGTGCGGGATTCGAACCCGCGGCTCCAAGCGTTGCAACTCATTGCTAAGCCACTACGCCACGGAGCCGTCTAAAATAAGTTAAAGCCAACAAAAATTGTTCGTTCACGGAGTATTGCAAAAAAAATGGTGGCCACGTTTGTCTCAAAAACCGGCCATGTTACGACTATTCCTCTTGAGGGACAAAGAACGGTTAATGCAGAATGGTATGCTAGCATTTGTTTGCCACAGGTCGTTTCTGAACTCCGTAAAGAGAACTGCAACCGCCGCATCATCCTTCATCACGACAATGCGAGTTCTCACACCGCACACAGAACAAAAGAGTTTTTAGAGCAAGAAAATATAGAATTATTAGACCATCCGCCGTACAGCCCCGACCTAAGCCCTAATGATTTCTATACTTTCCCTAAAATAAAGAATAAATTGCGTGGACAGAGATTTTCATCACCTGAAGAAGCTGTGGACGCCTATAAAATGACCATTTTGGAGATCCCAACTTCCGAATGGAATGGTTGCTTCAATGATTGGTTCCATCGTATGGAAAAATGTGTCAAATTTCGCGGAGTACTTCGAAAAGCAATAAATACATTTTTAAATAGTAATGTTGTGTCACTTCCTTGATTCCCGAAATTTTCAGTGCCGCCCTCGTACTACTACAGCGGTAATTCAGAACAAAAACCGCGTGTAATTCAGAACAAAAATCGCGTCACAGCTGCGGATCGCGCGGATGCCTGCTAGGTGGTTAGCTAGCACGCATTTGTATGTTCATTTCAAATCACGTTCACGAAGTGCGCATATAAAAATAATGACAACGTTTTCCCAATCACATTAAATAAAATCAGTGTTAGATTGTCGAAAACAACGTTCGCCATTTACAAAATAAAGACCTAGTGTTCTTGCTTGGCCCCTCGTAGCCGACTAAAGAATTTACAGAGAATAACCATAATTTAATGCGCGACATATTAGCACCGTAGTGTTCCTCTAGTATACATAAAGGCTTTACACCAATACCTTCTTTACATTACCGTAATAACTTTCCGAAATACTTTTACAACTGCAACAAAGGCAGTGTAGTGATATGTAGCAGAGTGTGAGTGCTTACATGATACTTCAACAACTTACTTCGCTTAAAGTTCACAGAATGGTTGAAGTATTTGGCATACTCGAGTTGTCGTTCAACGTCCGTCAACGTCGTCAACGTTCGTGTCGTCAACGTCGTCGTCAACGAGCAGCAGTGGCAGGGGCAGGACAAATCCATTTAAAACTCGTGCCGCTCACTTCTCTGCTCAATGCCGCGGGTGTGAAATGAATGTAAATGAGGAAAATGCAACTGCAGAGTTTAATAGATATTACAGCGTTTAGGTACTGGACGTATTCTATACGTTATAAAAATAACCATACAATATTACAATAATGAAATTTGAAGTCTTTTTCTTATTTAAAAAAAAAACATTGCTCCCACGGTGGGATTTTCTCCTGTCTGGTGGGGCAGTTTACAAACGTATATTGCACAAGGACAAACATCCTGACCTGGAACAATTATTTGTAGGAAATACAAACAATTGTTCCGCGCGGGATTCGAATCTGTGGCCCTTAGCTCCTAGCGCTACAAGTCATTGTTAAACCATTGCGTTACAGAGCCGAAGTTTTAAGGCTTGCGACCCAGCTCGAAAAATCAATGTATAAGGTAAAAGAAAAACAAAGCGTCGAATGTCTCACCGACAACTGTACGGCACCAGATCGCAGCACCGTCATCCGAAGTCCCGTATTGCTTATCTCTTCCAGCGTCTGTGCGATCGGGCACTGCAACGTAATGTGTTAACACTTTACAGATCATTTTCATTAGCTTAGCAGAAACGAACTGCCGCCTATACTGAAATTGCAATTTTTCACTCACCGAGTAATTCTGTATTGAAATGGAGACGCATATGTCGTCATCGGACTGTACCACGAGCCGCACGCTTTGCTGTCCTTCCTCGAACTGGTAGTGAAACACGCGTGGCGCTGTCTGAATATCGTGAATTAAGTCAAATCTTATTCTGCAATATACGCCCAAATTTGTAGAGAAGGTTCAGAATAAATAATATAGGCGAACAGTGAAGAAAAATTAATTAAAAAAAGTCTCAAGCATTCTGTCCTTTTTATCGTTTAAATATTATGTTTACATGTAACTGAAGAAAAACTGCAGATGCCAATTTGCCTGCTTAACGTGGCAACTGTGGCAAATATACATCCTGTGAGGCAATCTATGGTGGAGGCCTATATTCAGCAGTGGACTTTTATTTTTTATTGTGTGTATGTCGTGTGGTTAGTACCTGGGTGGCGGCGAGGTGGACTGGTGAGAGGAAAGGCAGGCGCCAGTGTTGTGGCCGGCGCGCCACCAAATGTAGCAGCAGCGCTCCGCAAGATGAGGACACGTGCAGCGAGAACGCACCGCGCCCCACTGTCCCACCAGACCTTGCTGCACAACCCACAACAACTTGCCATTGTTCCTTCTTACACATGAGGGTAACAAAACTACTCACACCACCTGATAGTAAGTGGACGCTGACCCATAGACACTAAAGACATAGGAGGGTCCGTCTTGTATACTAAATAATACATTGTACTCTAAGTTACGCTCAATTCTCCACAACTTCTTTAGTCGACTGCTAGCGGCCGAGAAGACTAGTTCTTTGTTTTGTGAACCGCAAACATTTTTCTACCGACTCCAAAAAGGAGGAGGTACTCAATTCGACTGTATATTTTTTTATGTGTGAACCGATTTCGATGATTCTTTTTTTATTTGAAAACTGGTGTTTCTCATTGGTCCCATATAAATTTGATAAAGGTCTAACCAATACGTTTTTGAGTTATTTATATTGAAATAGTTTGTGCAAAATTTTTAATTTTTAATTATTCGACAATCTAACATTCAGTCATCATGTATTTACGCACTTTGTCAAACTTTGTTTTTTTGTTTATTTCAGATAAGCATACAACTTTATTTCGTATTTGCCGAAAAACAGTATTTATCGTTAATGAAAATACAACTGCGTGGCATACTCGTATTTACTGTGGCTACTGTGTGAGCTACTCGGCCAGCTGACGCTCGCAGAATCCGCAGCTAACACAGATTTTGTTCTGAATTGCCGGTGTAGCAGTATACATAGAAGTGTTACTACTAAGTGCAACTATATTATATCCTCGGTTAAGTAATTCAAATTCGTTGCCGCCCTTGAGAACAGCAGCATTTATCACCTATTTTACGTGATACGGGAGAGCGTGATCCTTCCTCGATTGGGCCGACCAATTGCTGGTCTGCTGTAACCAAACTGTAGTGTGGCTGTGCCCCGTTAAACAAATTCACACCACCGTCGCACATCGCGACAAATTGTCGATACTATCCACACCATCTGGATATTTTGAGCAAAGATGTGCGGTTTACCAGAAGTTTTCTTCCATAATTTATTAACACAACAAAACATGCTACACATAGACCGAGTTAATTTATTAGAATTTGCATATCAAAACACAGTCGAATGGTTGTGTCGACTAGATTGATTTTCTTTTACAACTTATATGATAATTCCTCAGGCCATTTCTGAGCCTTAGGAAAAGTGTAGCCTTGAATAACTTTCAAAATTTAAATTTCGAACAAAATTATTCTTAATGGTATTTTATTAATTATAAAAAGATCTAGAATTGGTAGCTCTTCTACCTTGTTTTGCAACTTGAGGTGCATTTAGAAAGAAAGAAAGAAAGAACATATTTATTCTTCTAACTAGGTATATTAAAAACTATATTAAACTCAATTCTTAACTGTAGTAACTAAATATTTACACTTAACTAATATTAACACTTAACTAAATATTTAAAAAATATGGATTGTAGTAACAAAAAAGCCACCGTATTAGCATAACTCTACAGTGTAAGTCGCGACACGAAAGTCTAGCGGTGACCGTTAATGCGCATAAGTTGGAAATAAGGTATGATGGGGTAGTAAGCAGGTCGCGGTGCGGGGGTGTGTATTTTTCGCACGCGCTGATTGGCTCTCCAGTCGCATTACCTCCCCCGTACTGATACGTGATACGTGCGCGACAGTGCCATGCGCAGCTATCCCCTCCACGTTTCGTTCAGCGTTAGACTTACGTGCCGCGACTTGTAACAGAGTTACCGCAGAGCTGATATTATATCGGAGCCACATAAGTCGACCTACGAGCAGTCGCTGGACATAATTTAGTACCTATTTTATAACTTAGAATCACTAAGAACTGAATCAAAATTAATGTTAAATCTTATAGTTTATGTAACTAATATTGATCGTGTTCCGATATACACTGCGAGCACTGCTCAGTGCTCTCACTGGTTATGAACTGCCAGTATACTGCCCCAGTATCCTAGGGAAATATATGACGTCATAAATCGCCGCCATTTTTGTAGTATGAGCATTGGCGCTTTCGAGGTAAGGTGCTCACAGTACTTTGATTACGTGATAAAAAAATTACAGCGCAAGATTTAACAGCTTCCACGAATGATTGTTATTATTATTAATTTATTGTTATTGTTATTGTTATTCAAAAAAAAACTCGGACATTCAGTTTTAAAAGCAACAACATTCAAATAATATTTTTTCAGTTGTGTTGAAAACAGTGTCGAAAAATGGGGATGATAGTTTACGGGACTACGTTCCGTTTTAAACAGTAATCAGTATAGCAAACTAAAAAGGAACAGCTTCACAGTTTACTGAATTGACGTCACACATTACAGTGTTCACAGTATATATCGGAACATACTCAATGTGTACATTAAACTAGTTAACTTACTCTATTCTACATTCCTGTACTCTATGACTGTTTTTACAGAAATGAACTTGAACTCTCCCCATCAAATTAACGAGTAATTAGCGGTAATTTATTTAAATGACAATGAACATACCACCACAGTTGGGGTTGGGATCCAGTTCCGCTGTGTCATCTGGGCAAAGCGTGCGCTCCAGTTCGAAGTGGGTGGTAGAGTCCGACTCGTACGGCAGCTGCCATGTGATCGCACCTGCGACGTAATGCAAACGGTTGAAGCAAAATATTTTTACTGCTCTTATTTTTTTTTAAGTGAAAACTTCTTTAGGATTGTTGTGATTTCAAACTCAATGAAACAAATACACCATACTAAAAAGAGACAAACATATACATCTATAGGATTTAGCCTGCGGGAGATAGATTGAGATATAATACAATATACACTGTTTGTTCACCCCGCTAGATGGAGTGACAACCTAGTAAGACATACAGAAAGTCAATGAATGCAGGTGGCTCAGGACCGTGCTTTGTGGTATTCCTTGGGGCCTTTGTTTAGCAGTGGACTTGTGATGGACTGTAATGATGAAGATAATACACTGTTTCCTATTATCTTGGTATCCTTTTATGAAGGTTTCACTTTTAACGTGTGTGAACTACATACATGTTATTTTTATTTAAAATTAAACTAAAAGTTAACTAACAGTTTAATATAACTAACAGTTCACCTGATTTCAATGAAAGTAATAATGTTAAACTGAAGGTATCCGTGGTTAAATTGACGTTGAGACGTCGAACACCTCAGTCTCACCGTGACTATTGGTACTGTAAAGTACTGGGGTCGTAGTGAATATAAAATCAGTTAATATCTCTATATATATAAAAATCAATTGCTGTTCGTTAGTCTCCCATAAACTTGAAAGCGACTGGACCCATTCTGATGATTTTTTTCTTATAGAGTTTGAGTGAGTTTAAACACATTTCAATTAGACCCGGTAGGTGGCGCTGTTGTCAAGATCCAGAAATGATCCGTGCGAAGTCGGGGCGGATCGCTAGTAAACGATAAAATCTGTAAAAACTAGTTTCATTTAAATGTGTAGTGTTCGTGGAAACATAAGAAATCATTAGTCCATGTGATGGTAGATAAGTGAGTACTGCAGCCCTTTGGACACCTGCAACTAACTTTTTTTTACAGTATAGGGTGACAAACGAGCACGCAGTCCACCTGATGATAAGTGGTTGCTGTGACCCATAGACATCTACATTTATCCTCAATAAAGAATCAAAATGCAGATACGTCGTCACCTGTGAGGACTAAGATGGAATGCCTCTTTTCCAGTAAAAAGGGACTCCGGTAAAGAACTTAAAACAAAGAAGGACTAATATGGAATGCCTCACAGCCTGTAACTATACGGGCGCTCCATACCTTTCACACGGGAACACAGCAGAGCAGGCATTGCTATTTGGCGGCAGAGGGTTTACATAAGAGGGCTGTACCTACCCAGATGTGATGAAAAAAGTGGTCCTACCATGTAGATCACATATTGGTATCGCAATATCAACAATCGTTAATGAGTTTGCGGCGGCACTGTTGTCGCGTCACAAGCGAAACGCACCGAAGCCTGAATCACGCTATCAAAGTTCCGAAGTACTGTGATATATACAGCACAGCTCTGTATTACCACACGGAGCGTTGCGTTAGCCGCTCTCCATGCTGCGCCTCTTGCCCGGCGGGAGATCTACCCTTTTCCTATCACAGCCAAAAGTTTAACTTCGAGCAGATTGCATCTTCTTTTGGCTTCTCTCGAAGTTGGGAGGACTTGGACCATCGTCTTAATCTTCTGTCTTCGTCTCCGAGACGTAAACATGTGGTTATACCGCCATTTATCGGAAACCATATGATTTTCTGGCAACTCCCGTAGTCGCCTCCTACGACACCCACGGGACGAAAAGGGTAGGTACCGTGTACAATGAGTTACCTGCCGTCAAATCGCTCTTCACCACAAAATTCATGATTCCATCCACTCACTCGCCACTCTTCTGTTTATAAAAAAATGTTTTGATGTAAGTACTAGAGCTACGAGTAGGTAGAAGGGCTCCTTCTGTGTCATAGAGTCTGTCTACACTAGACGAGCTCCATCTAAAATAAACTGTAAGGCATTCCAGTCTCAGAGGCTTTGTTTCAAGTTGTTTGCAAGTGTCTATAGCTAACAGTTATCCAACATCAGGTTGACTGTTACTTCGTTTGTCACTTCGGAGTTAAATTTTTTGTTTTATTTGTGCGTGCGACACAATGAGGGCTGTCAGTATTCAGTGAGAAAACAAAGTCCAACACACTAGCGAAGAGCAGTCTCCGGCTACCCTTCACTAGGTGGACTACTCTTAGTGTAGGCGTTCATGCGTGGTAGAACAACGCTGATCTATATTATAGTTGTAGCTTGAATGGGTCAGCTCGACCGGGGAAGGACCACGCCCTCAGAAAATAGAGAGTGTGGAGAGCCGGAGCCATTTTACTGGAAACGAAGCATTCCATCTTAGTCCTCAAAGGTGACAACGTATCTGTATTTTGATTGTTAATCGAGGATAGGTGTAGATGTGTAGATGTGTGCCCACAGCATTCACTTAACATCAGGTGGACTGTGTGCTCATTTGTAACCATTATTCTATAAGGTATAGTCATCTTGCGTGTCATCGTGTGTATCACGGCGGATGGTACACATCTATTACAGTTACATGATCATAATTGGGACAGTTACCGGCTCGGAGACGCGAAGTAAGCAGTACTGGCTGCGCCAAGTCGCCGCCGGAACTGTTGACGCATAGTACAGTAGGCCACGAGACACCTTCCTCCGACTCGGTCGTTTCAGGCTGAAACATTATGTAAATAACAGACATATTACACTTGTTATCTTTACATTACGTTATAACACGTTATTACATTCCTCTTAACAAACCTAATGTTTAAAACAGTAACTAAAATTCCAGACCGCATTAGAAAGTTTACTGAAAAATAAAACCCCCTTTTTTGTATTTGAAGATTCAATATATAAATACGAGTATTGTATAGCCTATGTCCCTTCCTCAATTATGATGTAGATAATGACACCTTATATTATGTTAAAATGCATCAAGCCGTTTAGGCTACAGGCTCTCTCTCTACACATACTTTCGAAAAACATTACCCTACTTCTGGGGTAGTCGAGTAAAAAGCGATTTACTAAACTAAGTCATTTAATTGTAAATATATCAACGACGTAAGAAAACTCCACAAATTCGTCGCGTTTCCTGATATAGAAAGAAAAAGATATTTATTTATTTTGGCAATTTCTTTATAATTTTTTTTTATATAGAAGAGGGGGCAAACGAGCATGCGGCTCCCTGATGGTAAGAGACTACCGCCGCCCATGAATAGAATAGAATAGAATAGAATAATTTTTATTCCATATAGATCACATGTGTAATTCTTATTGAAAGTCATTTTTTACTTTACCACTGGTTCGAAAAGAAAACCTTTGTCCTGGGAAGAACCAGCAAGAAACCCAGCGGGACTTTTTTCAAAAAGCATATTTTACATTAATGGTTGTATAAACTATATAAGTACAAAATTTATTTTAAAAACAGCTTGGAAGCGACCACCTCATTCCCAGGGTTATTATCAACCATGTATTCATTTATACTATAATAACCCTTTTTATACAGTTTTAACTTAACAAAACATTTAAACTTGGTAATAGAGAGAGCCGGCGTATACATTGCCCCTTGAATAAATTACTGACTCTGTGGAGTCGAGAAACTGGTATCACTAGCTTATATTTGTTCCTAGTATTTACAGAATGTATATCACTTTTTTTACTAAAACTACCTTTGTTTTTGTGAACATACATTAAATTTTCGTAAATATACTGAGAGGCCAAAGTTAAAAATATTTTTTACTTTAAATTTATCTCTAAGAGACTCTCTCGATTTTAGGTTGTAAATATCTCTTCTGTAAAACAAAAATAGTTTCTGAATCAGCCGCATTTCCCCATAGCAAAATCCCATAAGACATTATGCTATGGAAATAACTAAAATAAACTAATCTAGCTGTCTCGACACTAGTGAGACCTCTAATCTTTTTTACAGCATAGGCTGCAGAACTTAGTCTGCTTGCTAGTTTGGACATATGGGGGCCCCACTGAAGCTTTGCGTCGAGAGTGATGCCAAGAAAAACAGTGGATTCAATAGGGCTTAGTTCTTCCCCATTTAAAACACATTGGTACTTACATTTTTAACATTCGTTGTTGTAAGTTTAATACATTTAGTTTTATTTCCGTTTAAATGTAGATTATTAACGTTAAACCAATGCACTAATTTTGATATAGCATTATTTACTTCGTCACATTTAAATGATTGACGTTTAAGTTTAAATATCAAGGAAGTATCATCAGCAAATAATACTATATCATGATTATCCCCTACAAGAGAAGGTAAGTCATTAATATACACTAAAAATTGGAATAGGCTGAGAATGGAGCCCTGAGGGATACCCATTAGTACAGGTGACCCGGAGGAACTTTTACCATTGATAATAACTTTCTGCATTCTATTACTTAAATATGAAATAATAAGTTTAGGCGCTGTGTTCTTGACACCATAGTACTGTAGCATCCTGATTAATGTTTCATGGTGAACGCAGTCGAAGGCCTTGGAAAGGTCACAAAATATACCCAAAGCATCCTCTGAATTCTCCCATGCACAAAAAATATGTTTAATAAGCTCAACTCCAGCGTCAGTTGTCGAGCGACCCCTTATAAAACCGATTTGATTTTTATGTAGCAATTTATTAATATTAAAGAAACTTAACATCTGACCTAAAATTATTTTTTCAAAAATTTTACTAAATGTTGGTAGTAGAGAAACTGGTCTAAAATTGGCGGGGTGTAATGTACTACCAGATTTAATTAAAGGTATGACTTTACCATGTTTCATTAAATCAGGAACAACTGCAACACCAGGGGAACCAGGGGAATTGCAGTAAAAAGGAGTAGGCTTTATTCTTGAAGGTCTCTAAGTCGTATCGGTCCGGAAAAATTGCTGGTGGTAATCGATTCCAGAACGAAGTTGTGCGAGGAAGAAAACATCTAAATCGCACAGTGGTGGACGGCCAATCATGCAGATGGTGTGGATGGTATCAGGAGTGAAATTTGGCGGCTGGGATTAATCCGAACAATTCCTCAGAGCACTCCCCGTGGTAAATGCGAAAGAAAATGCAAAGAGATGCAACATCTCTTCGCAGCGACAATGAATCGAGCCGATCCGAATGGACTCGGTCGTCGACGATTCGAGTCGCTCTGCACTGGATGCGGTCAAGAGGAAGGAGCTAGTACTGGGGAGCCCCAGCTCAGAGATGGGAAGAGTATTCGATGTGAGGCCGAACCTGCGCCTTGTAAAGTTGCAGGCGTTGTGCCGGCATGATTTAACGGTGGTAGAGCCACGTAGCAGTTTTTGCTGTTGCACGTATGGGCCGGCTCGAGCCGGGTTGGTACCACGACCTCACAGAATACCGGCGTGAAGTAGAAGCTCTGCTTCTGCGTTTCGTCTGGTGAGTGCAGGTAGTCGGAGGCCCTATTCCCCCCCCCCACCCATCAACATGGTAGCGAAATTACACATTAGACTACCCCAGGAGGGTACCAGCACCCCTGGCGAATCCCTCACTGAGCATCCACGACCATGTTATTCCACTCCTGAGCGTGGATGCTCAGGCTGTCCCGCGTATTCTGGTGGGGGGCAAAATTCCGCTCAAAAACATAACTGCTCGGGGCAAACTGAGCAACAAAACCAAGGCGACCCCTGCCACGCTATCCGTGAATTTCTGCAACATCAGGGGACTTCACTCGAACCTAAACGCCGTACTGACCGAGACGCAGGTTTCCTTTCCGGCTGATATTTCGTATCTTTCCTACCCGGGGTACAAATTGGAGCACTCCTTTGTGCCTCGGGCTGGAGTTTGCGTGTATGTCAGAGAGGACTTCTGTTCTCGACGCCTCGGCAGTCTTGAAGGTTCGGACCTGTCCATCCTATGGCAACGCGTAGACAGGTTCCATATCGGTAATGCCGAAACAGACCGACTCATTGACTACGTCCAAATGGCTACAGATTCTTTGCTACAACAGGTCCCATCCGCAGAGATCGTGATCCTTGGCGATTTTAACGCCCACCACGCCGATTGGCTCGGTTCACGTTTAACCGATCATGCGGGGAGATCTGTTTATGACTTTGCTTTGGCATATAGTCTGACACAACTCGTTACTTCGCCTACGCGGATTCCAGATGTGGAGGATCATACACCTTCCCTGTTGGACCTTCTGCTGACCTCTCATCCGGACGGATATCAGGTTTCCGGCGATGCCCCTCTCGGCTCTTCGGACCATTGTCTGATCCGGAGTGTGGTGCCACTCACGCTCCCCTCGCGGTTGCGTTCTGCAGGTTGCCGCCGTGTTTGGCATTACAGGTCGGCGGATTGGGACGGAATGCGGTCTTTCTTTGCATCCTACCCATGGGGGCTGGTTTGCTTCTCGCCGGATGATCCCAGCGCAGTTGCTGACACTGTCACTGATGTGGTGCTACAGGGAATGGAATTATTAATTCCATCGTCTGTGGTACCCATCGGAGGCAGATCTCAGCCTTGGTTTGGTCGCTCCTGTAAGACTGCATTACGCAGTAAGCAGGAGTGTTATCAAGCCTGGGCTGCGGCTTCGGCGACTCGGGATGTAAACACCAGCACACTTAAAAAGAAGTATAACTTCGCCTCCAGGTCCTTCAAAAGAGTTATTGCCAAGGCAAAGTCAGAGCACATAGGCAGAATTGGCGAGAAACTAGTTCGCCTTCCTTCGGGAACCCGTGCATTCTGGTCTCTCGCCAAGGCTGTCCAAGGGAATTTCTGTAAGCCATCACTAACATCTCTGCACAGGGAGGACGACTCACTTGCCCAAGACGCAAAAGACAAAGCCGACCTTTTAGCCTCCCTTTTTGCGTCCAACTCGACCCTTGATAACGGGGGGAAAACACCGCTAACCATCCCGCGGTGTGAGTGCTCCATGCCGGATGTGCTGTTCTCACAGCGCTCGGTTCGCAAAGCATTCCTCTCCCTGGACATCCAGAAGTCGAGTGGGCCTGACGGAATCCCCCCAATTGTGCTGAGGACGTGTGCTCCGGATTTGGCACCGGTCCTAACGCGTCTTTTCCGGTACTTCTACTCCCAAGGCGTAGTCCCGAAATCATGGAAGACAGCTTTTGTCCACCCGATCCCTAAAAAAGGTGACCGCTCAGACCCGTCCAACTATAGGCCTATCGCGATCACCTCCTTGGTCTCCAAAATAATGGAATCAATTATTAACTGCCAGCTCATGCGGTACCTTGAGGATCACCAACTGATTAGTGACCGCCAATACGGTTTTCGTCGGGGTCGATCAGCTGGTGATCTTCTGGTCTACCTGACCCATAGGTGGGCAGAGGCAGTAGAGTCCAAGGGGGAAGCGTTGGCCGTTAGTTTGGACATTGCAAAGGCCTTCGATCGGGTTTGGCACAAAGCGCTTCTTTCGAAGCTCCCTTCCTATGGGCTTCGCGAGAAATTGTGCGATTGGATCACCAGCTTTCTTGCAGATCGGAGCATCAAGGTCGTTGTAGACGGTGCATGCTCCGACTACAAGACTATTAACGCTGGTGTTCCACAAGGCTGTGTGCTATCACCAACGCTGTTTCTTCTGCATATCAATGATATGTTGCTAACTGCTAACATTCATTGCTATGCGGATGACAGCACTGATGATGCTTTATACACCGGCCGTGCCAATATTTCTCGGGAAAACGTCGCTGAGTACCGGAACAAACTTGTGTCTGAAGTCGAGTCTTTGCTGAACAAAATCTCGGATTGGGGACAACTAAATCTACTCCAGTTTAATCCCCCTTTGTCGTATCTCCTCAGTTTCAAGGCACTCCCCTTCTTGCCTCAGCCAGTATCGGTATCCTCGGAGTCGACATATCGAGTGACGTGCAGTTTCGTGGTCACTTGGAAGAGAAGGCCAAAGTGGCCTCTAAAAAGCTTGGCGTGCTCAGCAGAGCGGGACAGTATTTCATGCCGGCACACCGCCTGCAACTTTACAAGGCGCAGGTTCGGCCTCACATGGAATACTGTTCCCATCTCTGGGCAGGGGCTCCCCAGTGCCAGCTCCTTCCACTTGACCGCATCCAGCACAGAGCGGCTCGAATCGTCGACGACCGAGTCCTTTCCGATCGGCTCGATTCATTGGCACTGCGAAGAGATGTTGCATCCCTTTGCATTTTCTTTCACATCTACCACGGGGAGTACTCCGAGGAATTGTTCGGATAAATCCCAGCCGCCAAATTTCACGAACGCACATCGCGGCAGAACTTCCGATACCATCTACACCATCTGGAAGATTGGCGGTCCACCACTGTGCGATTTAGAAGATGTTTTCTTCCTCGTACGACTTCTTTGTGGAATCGATTACCATCAGCCATTTTTCCGGACCGATACGACTTAGGGACCTTCAAGAAAAGAGCGCACTCCTTTTTAAAAGGCCGGCAACGCATCTGCGATTCCCTCCCTGGTGATGCAGCTGTTCATGGGCGGCGGTAGTCACTTACCATCAGGTGTGCCGTATGCTCGTTTGTCCCCTCTCCTATAAAAAAAAGAAAATGAAATACTGTCCCGCTCTACTGAACACGCCAAGCTTTTTGGAGGCCAATTTGGCCTTCTCTTCCAATTGACCACGAAACTGCACATCACTCGATATGTCGACACCGAGGATTCCGATACTAGCTGAGGCAACAAGGGGAGTACCTTGAAACTGAGGAGATACGACAAAGGGGTTCTTTTTAGCGGTAAATACGCAAACTTGTGTCTTCTGAGGATCAAACTGAACTAGATTTAGTCGCCCCCAATCCGAAACTTTGTTCAGCAAAGACTCGACTTCAGACACAAGTTTGGTCCGGTACTCAGCGACGTTTTCCCGAGAAATATTGGCACGGCCGGTGTATAGAGCATCACCAGTGCTGTCATCCGCATAGCAATGAATGTTGGGTTTGCAACATATCATTGATATACAGAAGAAACAGCGTTGGTGATAGCACGCAGCCTTGTGGAACACCAGCGTTTATAGGCTTGTAGTTGGAGCATGCACCGTTTACAACGACCTTAATGCTCCGATCTGCAAGATCGCTAGTGATCCAATTGCACAATATCTCGGGAAGCCCATAGGAAGGGGGCTTCGAAAGAAGCGCTTTGTGCAAAACCCGATCGAAGGCCTTCGCAATGTCCAAAGTAACGGCCAATGCCTCCCCCTTGGACTCTACTGCCTCCGCCTATCTATGAGTCAGGTAGACCAGAAGATCACCAGCTGATCGACCCCGATGAAAACCGTATTGGCACTAATCAACTGGTGATCCTCAAGGTATCGCATGAGGTGGCAGTTTATAACGGATTCCATTATTTTGGAGAACAAGGGGGTGAAGGCGATTGGCCTGTAGTTGGACGGGTCTGAGCAGTCGCCTTTTTTAGGGATCAGGTGGACAAAAGCTGTCTTACATGATTTCGGGACTACGCCTAGGGAGTAGGAGTACCGGAAAAGATGCGTTAGAACCGGTGCCAACTCCGGAGCACAAGTCCTCAGCACAATTGGGGGGATTCCGTCAGGCCCACTCGACTTGTGGATGTCCAGGAAGAGGAGTGCTTTGCGAACCGACCCGCATATCCGGCATGGAGCACTCACACCGCGGGATGGTCAACAAAAATTAATTATTATATATTATATAGATAAAATAAAGATTGTTATAGTTGTAGGTATACAGTGCGGTTCGAGGGTTTCCCCCACAAAAATATTCGAATGACCTGCAAATATTTATTCGGTGTGATACGACGACGGGGGGTTTCCTACAATAGAGAAGTCATTTTCAAAGGAAAAAATTAATCGAAATCTCTTTTCATTAAGCGCAGCGATTCGCGATAGTATATTGTAAACAACGTGCACTGATTCCTAATTTTTATTATATGAGTTATCACTCACAGCCGCTTGAACTTTGACTACAATTTCAGATAACTGGGCTTTAATGTCCTGACGTAAACTCACACATGGTGACGCGTTTTACAACGAGGTGTTTGTTGTTCATCTATACCTTAATGAGATACCGAAAACCGCGAGTGACTAGGTGATTTTGTTGACAAACTTTGTACTTAATTAAAAAGAAGCTGTCAAGTGTAGCGATTCTCCCTACTATGGAAGGGGCTCATGATCAACAGTGGACTGTGACGGAATCATAACAAAAAAATCGTGAATGTGAGTGTTAATTATTGTTGGTAAACTGAAGCGTACTTACTGGCGTGAAGTCCAGGATGTACTCGACCGTATCGTTTAGCTGCAACTCATACTCCACGTTGTAATCTAACCTGGAATTACAAGACGCGCGCGGTTTTATTTTCAAAACAAAATTTCTAAACCAGCTCTTGCGACACTGAGAACTTACTAGCGCAATAGTTTTCTATCAACTAAATCCATATAAACAGACAGTCAAAAGGTAGTACTGTGAACAGGAACTTTTTCAATTAAGTTGTGTACATAGCACCAAGAAATGGATTAAATATCGCTCCTAAACACTTGCAGGTTTGTGTGAACTCTCGAGATGGAAGTGCAATACTCACCGCATCTGCACGACAGTGATCTCGGAGAGCGCGGCGCTGGCCGCCACCAGCACGGCGTACACCCGCCAGATCACAGTGGCAAACATCGTACACAAGTGCTCTTTACAACGAGATTTTAAATAAAACCTGAATAAATTCGTCTCGGTTCACCATCCATTACGTTTGTTTTCCGGATTGATATGAACATTTACACTCAACTACGCAAAATTCCCAACTTGTGACTTGTTAAACGCAAAGTTTTGAAGGCGAAACCGAGCTCAGCGATAACCTCCTGCTTAGTTATATAAGTTGGTCATTTTATTGTAAATAACAACATTTTTTAGAAATAATAAATAGTTATGTCACAGATAGGAACTAATCCTTTACAATGTAGTGATTTAGCAATAACAAAGACTCAGCAGAGTCGGACGCGTTGTTTTCTGCTGCTCTGCTTATCGTAACGTATCGCCCGTATCGGACACTATCGACATGTGTTGACTAATATTTTGCCACTGATAATTTTAGAGAATTCAGGGCATCACCGGAATGTGCCGCTATCGTCTCCATGGAAGTACATTCAAATACTTATCTCATTAACTGTGCTTGGACAAGCTATTTTGATTTTTTTTTATTTACGGTGTGTTCCGACTGGGCAATAGAATAAGGAAATACGTTTTTTTATGTATAAAGTTACAAATTATAGGCGTATTCACCGTGCTACCTCAATTTGTGTTTGTGGACTTCACATGTCTTCCAAATATTTTTTTTTTACTTTTGTGAGACATGTAAGTTTTCTCATGACGTTTTCCTTTGCTGCCGAGCACCTGATAAATCAGCAATTAAAATTGAAACTAATAATTTCATTGGTAGCTGACCTAGCACGTAACTCGTTTTAGTCCGATGAATCTGTAAAAGCTTAAAGGCTAACAGCACTAACATCATCAGAAACCAAAAGCAGTAGTTCGTTTTAACCGTATTATTTATTTAAAATATGAATTTATCAGTACTGTCAAATAAGAAAGCACAATCCGCAATATACTGTTCACATTAGAGCAATAACATACCTACTCAGGTCATAAATTCTGTCACATGTTTAATATAAAATAATTGAAACAAGTTTATTCATTATGTAACCATTTATATACCAAAATGAACTTAACAAAACATAGATTCTTATGACACTAAAGTTTATTCAAAATGACCTCCGTGATTTTGAATACAGGCCTTCAATCTGCGCGGCCAGTCGTCTATCGCAGCACGAACGAGGTCCATGTCAATATCGGCGGCTGCCTTAATCAAGGATGTCTTGAGTGACTCCAAATTGGGATGAGGCTTTGAGCACGCCTTTTCCTCCAAGTGTTGCCATATCTTGTAATCTAACGGATTCAAATCTGTACTGGAGGAGGGCCAGTCTTCGTGCCGGATGAAGTCGATTTCACGCGCCGCCAGCCAGTCTTGTGTGCTCTTCGCTCTATGAGCTGGCGCCGAATCTTGTTGGAATACCCAGTGCCTGTTATTGAACATGGTATGAGAAACAGGTTCCACAAGGTTCGTCAGGACTGTATTTTGATACACAACTGCATTCGTTTTTACACCTTTCTCACAAAAATGTACCTCTGTTAAGCCCCAATAAGCAACTTCCAACCATACCATGAGCGAGGATGGAAAATGACCTCGTTGGACACGCGGAATACGGTTGCTCGCTTCTTCACTACTGTGTGCGTACACCTTATCATTTTGTTTGTTGTAGCTCTCTTCTACGGTAAAAATTTTTACATCCGAAAAAAGAATTTCCCGATATTTTTCCCGCGTACCGCTTCAACAAAGCGCGGCATCTCTTCAGTCTCAGGTCCATTAGACGAGCATTCAAACGATGTCCTGTTTTTCTTCGATATCCCCGAAGCCCTAAGTCTTCATTTAACACCCTTTTTACCGTGGTTCTGCTTAACCCCATCTGAAGGGCCAACAGTTTCTACTTACGTTTGGGATTTCTTTGAATTCGCGCCTTCACAGCTTTTATCACTGCTGGAGTCCTAACAGACCGAGGGCGACAACTTCTTGACCTGTCATCTACACTAGTCTTCATTGTATCGTTTGATGGTACGATAAACGAATCTTTTGGTTATATTCAAATTTTTCAGTATGTCAAAAATTTGAATTGGCGCGTAACCGCAACGATGCAACGCAATAACTGCAACACGGTCTTGTTTAAGCGTCCACTCCATATTTAAAAATGAGTAAAATTCTAAAAAGTATACAGTTTTATTTTCATGAACAATTCGAAATTCGAATTCAATAAACTTTTTTGTGGCCAGCGTTCTAAAAGAAAAGTTTTTACTGTGTGACTATACTTATGACCTGACTGGGTACATATGTATGCTGTTCACAATATTTTAGGGATGATTGGTTGTAGGCAGACAGATGAGTCATAGAGGACGCACAAGATACATCATGCCATCTCACTCCATGTTTGAAGAAAATGACAACTATAGGGAATACCAGCAGGAGCTAGCTTGTAGCGGCGTCACCGCGTCGCAATAACACACCTGCACCATCAGGACCGAACAATAATTGAAGTAGAAATCACGTTATGCTGATACATCAACATCATCACTGAAGACATTGGCCTTAACAAGATTATTTTTAGGGTTCCGTACCTCAAAAGGAAAAAACGGAACTCTTATAGGATCACTTTGTTGTCCGTCTGTCTGTCTGTCAAGACCCTTTTTCTCAGGAACGCGTCGAGGTTTGAAGCTGAAATTCTGATTCTGAATTGAGCTGTGTAAAAATTACACTTTTCTACGTGGTAGAGCCATGCTGCAGCTATATTATGGTTGTAGCACGAATGGGTCGGCTCGACCGGGGAAGGACCACGCTCTCACAGAAAACCAGCGTAAAATAGCAGCTCTACACTGCTGTTTTTCGTATGGTGAGTGTAGAGAACCGGAGACCCTTTTTACTGGCAAAGAGGCATTCCATCTTAGTCCTCACGGGTGACAACGCATCTGCATCTTGAGTCTTTATTGAGGAGATGTAGATGACTATGGGTCATAGTAACCACTTACCATCAGGTGGACTGTGTGCTTGTTTGTCACCCGATCCTATAAAAAAAAACTTCTAAGCCAACGCAATCTAAAGATACAACCGTTTATGCCGCATATTTTCGACATTCGCAAGGGAATCAAAACCTACAGGGTACTTCCCGCGAACTCAGAATCTTAAAATTTGGTATGAAGCAACGTATTATAGCACAGATAAAGGAAAAATTGCGAAAATCATAAATTTATTGCGAAAATCATAAATTTTTCGTTACAACATTTTTAATAATTTTAAACTTATATACCTACGGATTTGTTCGGAACCCTCGGTGCGCGAGTCCGACTCGCACTTGGCCGGTTTTTTTTTAGAAAGGGGGCAATCGATCATGCGGCTAACCTGATGGTTAGTGACTACCGCCGCCCATGAACAACTGCAACACCAGGGGAATTGCAGGCTTTTTAGAAAGGAGTAAGCTCTTTTCTTGAAGTTTCCTAACTCTTATAAGTCCACAAAAAGTTGATAAACGATTCCACAAAGAGGTCGTACGAGGAAGAAAACCCTTGTAAAACAAGATCTTCAAAATCTAATGCCCCGACAGATAGTGAGCCACCTGCATATTATGTCCCAGTTACGACGTGACCTATATCTAGCTCGTTACGCACGGATGTTCATCACCCCGTTTGAGCTTGGCTGTAGGTGTGTGTGTGTGACACAGTGCTTTGATTTTTTAATTATTTAATGTTATTGTTGGTCTGGAGTCCAATTTTTATGTGGGACTTATAACATTTTCCGTGTCCCGTGAATCATATATGAACATTTCAATTGTTTAACTATTGTGTCTGTTTAGCGAACAGGGAAACTGTTAAAGTGAAATATTAAAATATTATATATTAATTTTTTTTTGATATACTTACCACGTTTTCATTTTTCGTTTTCTTATATTGTCATAATATTCTGAGCCATGTTCAAAATTTCATGTCTCTAGCTCATTGGGAAGTTAGTTTAAAATCAATAAATAAATTCGATCCGAACAGACATGAAGTTAATAAAAACGTAGTAAAAAAAATAAAAAAGTAATGTGCCGACTGTGTTACTAACCTGATACCCTGAGGACTGACGAGAAGATCCTGGAGCTGAAAGAAGAGATAGACAAGTTGGGCTGGGATATTGCTATCCTTGTGCAGAGACTTGAAGGTATAGGGATAAGAGGTAAGAGTCTCTTCCTCTTTGACAGCTACCTCCAAGGTAGGAAACAGCAAGTTAAAATAGATAACTTGCTTAGTGAGGAGGAAAACATTGTTTACGGTGTCCCACAGGGCTCGGTTCTCGGCCCATCACTGTTTCTATTGTATATTAATCAACTATGCAACCTACGAAGCAATGTTGGGAAAACCTTCTCCTGCGCGGATGACACGGCCAACGTTTACATTGGGGACTCGTGGGAAGAACTGTGCAATAATGCCGAGCAAGGATTAGTTGTTATATATAGATAGATGGCTCAAAGCCAATCTGCTAACCCTTAATGTTATTAAAACGAACTACATTTGTTTTTCTCTTAGTTTAAGGTCTAAACCAGGCCTTAATTTTAAAATTAGAATACACATGTGTGCGGACTACTTGGACCAAAATTGTAATTGCCAGGTCCTTAAACATATAAAGACCACAAGATACTTGAGAATTATAGTTGACTAGTGTTTAACTTGGCATTCGCACATTGAGATTGTTACGTCTAGGGTGCGCAAATTTATATGGATTTTCAAAAATCTAAGGGTGCGTATAGATTAAGTAACATGTTTTGTTACTTTTGTTTTATAACACGTCCCATTATGTTACACTGTTTTTCAACATTGCAACATAAAACAATACTATACACATTAGAATAACAATGCATTATAACAATGTTATATGACATTGTCGATTGTCGTTTTGCAGTGCTATTCACAATGTCGACACAAGAGGACGTTTTGCTAACTGCTGCAGCAACTCTTGTACTTTTAAATAACAAAAGAAAAAAACATAGATACTGGGTTCGTCCTAGTTTATTGACTAGAGAAAAATACTCTCTAGTTATATAACATTTGTGTCACTTTATATAACACATTTTATAAAATTCAGACTCCACATTACTGAAACATGTAATATAATGTTTTATAAAATGTTTTATAACATGTTATGTTATATAATATGTACGTATCGTAAGATATGTGATGCCTCAGAAGACAATAGCATCTATATTGCGCTCACGCAATCATTCTTACATATTGTTTACCAGTCGGGAGGAGCCACTAAAACTAAATTCTTTGAGCTAGAAAGAGCCCAAAGGTCACTTATGAAAGTAATGTACTATAAACCATACAGATACCCCACCGTCGATCTATATAGAATCAGTGGCTTACTCTCAGTTAGAAAACTATATTACTAAATTACGACCCTATACTTACAAAAGTCTATTCCATTTGACCAAGACAGTCAAGAGAGAAGACGAAAAGATATAGTGGCTTACTCCCCAAGGGTCCGAACCGATTTTGCACGGCTTCTGTATGCAATCCAACCAGTCTACATCTTTATATATAAAAATTACGTGTCACGTTGTTTGTCCGCGATGAACTCCTAAACTACTGAACTGATTTCAATGAAATGTTTCACAATGTGTGCAGTTTGGTCCAACTTGAGATATATATATATATAGATAGATAGTTTTTATCCCGATAAGTGATCCTCAATTTTTTTATTGCTAATCTCAGGAGATTTTTTTTAGGAAAGCAAATGGTCGTCGGAAAGGGCAGAACAACGTCTGCCTGGTCAGCTAGTTTATAATAAAACAAACGTAAAATTATAGTTCCACCATGAGGTATCACACGTCACGTAATAAATGAGTGGTTAAAAACCTTAACATACGAAGAAACTGAACAAATTTTAATTTTATGGTTAAACTATTTCTTTTTATTTGTTTCTTATTAATAATGTATGTACTTACCGAGCTTAATGTATTAATTGCGCTTTGAACACACCGGCACCTCAAAGAAGACACACACATTTACAAACATAAACACGCTTACACACACGCGTGCACACACACACAAAACTAGGCACAAGAGAGAACGGTGAGCTGAAAGTAGGGAAATTCGGAATAGGGCAACGGAACCCAAGGGATCAGCAGCTGGCTGACTTTATGGAGAAAAAGGGAATCTTTCAAGAAATTCTTTCAAAAGCGACCCCACAGAAAGTGAACCTAGTCGAGCTCCGACGGTCCGACAAAAATGAGAGTGACTTCATTATGACGACCAAACGACAACTGTTCAGTGATGTCTGAGTGATCGCGAGGGTGAAAACTAGCAGCGATCACAGAATCGTGAGAGGCACACTAAACCTAACCGTTAAGTTGGAGAGGTCACGTCTAATGAAGTCAACGCTCCGTCCCCCTCGTGGTCTATCCCGAAGACTTTTAGCTCGAGTTACAAAATCATTTTCAGTGCCAGGAAGAC